ATCACTTATGTATTGAGGAGCGAGCCCTTATTCTATAAAAGGGACTCCCTCACCATCATTAGAGAGTATTGCCGCCTGTTGAGCAACCGCTTCGCCGCAAATATCAACTCTAGCCCATCATTCATGTGTTGAGGAGCGAACCCTTATTCTATAAAAAGGACTCCCTCACCTTCAATGCCACAAGCCGAGCCAACCAAGGCAGCATAAGCCACAAGCCGAGCAGCCTCGCAACATGTGCTACTTCTAGTTAAGCATCACTTCACATTGAGCATCGTCTCATATCGAGTATCAGTTCTAGATGACATCTAGTTACTTCGGCCCACACATGGACTGAATTTCAAGTTTCCAGCCAAAAAACTCTCTTGACTGAAGACTTAGAGGACTAATGTTGGTACCATATTATATTGGGCCTCGTTACTTGGGCTTCCAAACATTGAGCCCATGATTTATGTAAAAGGGGAGGAGCCCTTAGTCTATAAAAGGGACTCCTCACCCTCACAATCCTGAGGCCTCACATCCCCAAACAGAGGCCTCACATCCAGCAACTCTCTCACAAACAGAGAAACTCTCTCAAACTCCCTCTTTCTTTGGGGGACTCCCCCTCACACTTGTAATCCATACATACAGTTACAGAGAAATACGATCAATATCAGTATAGATGTAGCCTAAACATTGGGGTGAACCACGATACATCTTGTGTTATTTACTTTCTTACAGATTCACGGTTGGATCTATGTTGTTCCAAGACCCCTCCGGTTTTGTGCATCAACACGTCTCATTGTCTTTCATATTTCAAACTAAGTACAGTTGTGCCATTGGTCTTAATTTGCCATGCATTTTCGGTTGGGCCTTTCTTCATAGTAAATTAATGTATTTGGGCTGCATTTTTTGGGCCGAGTGTGGGTAGTGAAATGACCCTAACATTATTTGAGTTGAGATCCTTTATGTGTATATGTGTCCGTAGTTCAAGTACTGTTTGGTACGCAGACGGGACGGGACAGAACGAAGGTTCTGTGTATGTTTGGTAGGCGCAGGACGGAACATGATGATTGTTCAATTTTGCGTTTGGTACGCGTTAGACAGAACATAACCAAAATATTGAATGACTGCGAAGCCACAGCTAGAGGTGCAGAGACTGTGACGCTTCCAGAAGCTGAGCTACTGCTGCAGCATACAGAATTGTATCCCTCAAACTCATCCTCATGGCCCCAAGAGCCCATGGCCCCGAGACCAAGCACGACCAGTCTGACTCGCTACGGCTTCACCCCGAGCTCCCTCCTAAACTCAGTCGTCGATTACGTTATCGGAATCGCCGCCGACTTCGACTTCTCATCCCTCCGATCACAGCCCTTGATCGACCACTACTTCTCTGGAGACGGTCACAACGACTCTTCCTCCCTTACTAGCTCTGAGTCAACTTATCCAACGACAGCTATAGGGACGCAGCACTACCAAGCTATTGCTTCGATCATATGGACTGAATGAGATTGGATCTTCTAATTCTTCTTCTTGTTCGTCGTCGTCGACAACTCTGGTTCGCCATCGAAGCTCTCTAGCTGGCCTTCCTAGCCATCTCACAAATTCTCAGATTTCTTGCCTTTGGATAGCTTCCCCATTTTCTAGATGCCATGAAAAACTAAGGCTCAGATGGAAACGAGGAAGAAGAAGAAGGAGACAGAGAGGTAGAGATTTGAGGAAAAAGACAATGGGAGAAGGGCATTTTTGTTATAAAATATTATAATTTTGTGTTCCACGGATGTGGAACGAGTTGTTCCAGGAGGTGAGGTGGAACGAAAATTCACCCAAAACTCGTCCCATGAAACAACGCATTCCACCCGTTTTAGGCGCACCAAACGTGGGACGGAACGCCTCGTCCCACTCCGTTCCGTCCTGTCCCCCGTACCAAACGGTACCTCAAGGATCAGAGGATTCTAGGCTTCTAGCTGTTGAAGAGAGAGAAAGAGAGATTGTGGCCGTTAAAGAGAGAGAGAGATCCGGTCCCTTAGGTTGAGTGAGATGGGTCAGTTAATCTTTAGACTCCGGAAGAACAAGAAAGCCGGATGTTTCTCTTTGACATTAAATTAAGTATGTTTCTCTTTGACGTATGAAGTTTCTCATGTTCATTTCAATATCAGTATCTCAGATAAGTTGATATTGTAAATTATTCCAATCTAATGTTCCGAGATGTATTAGCGTACTGCCCTAACGAACTACAGGCTTGATATACGTCTGCCTAAGCCACAACTTTTAGTTTTTCTAATTTAAAAGATAATTTTCTATATTTTCCTCATCTAATAAATTGCTTTATTTCCCAATACATCAAGATGAGGAAGGCAAAAAATTAGAGTTATTTGGCCGAGTGAAACTCGGCTTCACTCGGCTAAATTAGAATCCTACAGGGAATTGGTCGAGGATTTATTTATTTTGTAGGCATCAGCGAATAAGGATTTATTCAAACGAATGTTACCAAATTAGAATCCTACAGGGAAACTGAAAGATTTAATGGATAACCCAAAAGTAATCCAAAACCTACGAGAAAACTATGATTCATACTTAATATGGGACTTGGATTATATAGGTAATCAAGCATATGTCTCTCTATAAATGTAGATGTTTAGACACAGAGCTATCTTGTATTACCATCCTCACCCCTCTCGTCCTCGTAGGGCAAACTTTTTACCGACTTAACTGATGGCTCTCGTTTGTCCAATAAAACGTATGCCTCCCTGGTCGGTGCTTCCTCACGATCTTATAGCTTCTATCGCCAAGCGCTTGTTTGCCTTCGAAGATTTTATTGCTTTTGGTGCCGTTTGTACATCATGGAAATCAGCTGCGACCAAAGAAAACTTTACTACAAGACGTCAAATTCCATTACTCATGCTTCCGGAGAAGGAGAAGGAGAAGGAGAGCACCACCACCACCACCACCGCTACCTCTACAGTGCGTGAGTTCTACAACTTGAAAAACGGTAAGGTATTCCAACTTAATATGCCAGACTTAGTTAGGGGAAAGTTGTGTTATTCTTCTCTAGGATGGCTAATGACTCAATCTGATAAAGACTCGAAACTCGATCTCTTGCATCCTTTAAACCATTCTCGTATCGAGCTTCCAGACGCTGAAACATTTAAGAAACATCACTCGGACTTGGACCTGTCTAATTTGAAAACGCTGTTTGGTGATTTCCTCGTAAGGAAATTTGTCTTGTCGTCGAGCCCTTCTTGTTCGTCCGACTACACAGTCATGATACATAGTTGGGAAAGACTGGCATTTTGTAGACCGGGAATTGGCGACCAACAATGGAACGTCCTTATGAAGTCAGAAAAAGAAGATCACTTGTATTTTGATATAACGTACTATAAGGGAAAGTTTTATGCCGTGGACGCTTATGGTACAATCTTGGTATGTGAAATTGAAGATCCCATGCAAGCAAGGACGAGGATTATTGTTCCAAAGTTGCCGGAAGAACTTGGATTCCCTTTCCTCTGCGAGAAAGAGTACCTTGTGGAATCAGCAGGGGCCTTATTGCTCGTCACGCGTTCTTTTATACCTACCTTTGAGTTTAGGGTTTTCGAGGTGCCATTGAGCAACGGAGATTGGTCCGACGACGCTAGGGTTAAAAGCCTGGGAAATAGAACTCTATTCCTAGGTTATAATTCTTCATTTTCTGTCGAGTCCTCAAACTACGGATGTAAAGCTAATTGCATATATTACACGAATCATCCGCCAGCACTTGTTCGTCAAGAGGAAGAGATAGACATGGGTATTTTTTATATGGAGGACGGAAAGGCCGAGGCTGACCTAAGAGAACCCATCAATTCCCTAACTCCACATTTGTGGGTTGAGCCGAGCTTTTAAATGGAATGTCTTGGCATTTTTCCACCTGCAAACTTGATTATATATGCTTCAGTTATGTCCCTTGGACGCGTAGTACAGTTGCTCATAGATTAGCTCTATTTGGTAATAATGTCCATTGATTTTTATAACATAAATTGTCATGAGTATATCATGTAATTAGTTATATTTAGTTATATTTTAGTCGTCTATAAATTTTAAAATACGTGAAATCAAACTTAATTAATAATGTGGAATCTAATCGGTAGATTTTATTAAGACAAAAAACTATGTTGAGTTTTAAGTAAAGAAAATTCATTTTTAAGAGACAATCATCAAATGACAAAAAACTATGTTGGGTTTTAAGTAAAGAAAATGAGTTGGGTTTTAAGTAAAGAAAATTCATTTTTCTGGAATGTGGGAGACCAAATAGAAAAGAGTGTAAAGTGGAATATGACCTCACGGTCCGTTGGCAAACGGTAGAACCTCTCCTCGCGCTCGCATAGTCACATCCACCTTTTGGCTTGGTGCCCACGGCTGCAGGTCCCTCGTGATCCGTGCGTACACATTTGTTGAAAAAATTCTTGACATGAAAAAAAGTGTGAATTCCAGAGAAAATAAATATTACTGCTTAATTTAAACAAGACTGGTATTGTGCTGGTCTCCAGTTAGAAATTGAAGCAATTAGGCTGGGCTGGACTGGGTCCACAAAACAATATAGACCATTAGTCTTTGATCGGACCAGCAGAGTCAAGCTCCGGATTACACAAACAGAGACAAAGCGAAGCTTCGACGTTAACGTTCTGGTCGCCGGCCACAAAAAGTATCTACGCGAAACACATTGCTATGCAAGCATGCATAGAAGTTGAAGAAACAACCATGTTAATGTTCTGGTTCGAGCTATAGTTCTATACTAAATTAATCTAAATAACGTAAAAGATAATTTAAATTTAAGTACAAAATGTATTTATAGAAACGCACATGCCACAAATAAGAGACGTAATCATCTTGCATCATCTTTAATTAAAATATTCACGAACTATATTGTTATTTCTAACATGTCTAAGTTAAAATCGACTGACTCCAGCCACAAACTTCAACTAACCAGGCAAAATTGGCACTTATTTTTATCAAAATGGAAGTGCTATTCGAGCAGTTAATAAAATAAATAAAAGCAGTAAATAACTTTTTCTATACATGTCAACAAAATTACAAAGTTTCCAACTTCGATAATTTATTAAATTCTGGGATTCCTCAGTTGCACTAACTAATTAATCATACAATATGAAAGTGCTTCTTCTATTTTCCAGCTACGATCAAGAAAGAAGAATTAACTTTAACAAAGTTACTAACACCTTTCATAAACTCAGTGAATGCAGTATATTCTCTGTACGCCATGACGTCCGCTTCACACCGCACCATAAGAGACGGCAAAAACAGCCATACCCCTGTCGCCACCACAAATGCCATCGCCAATGGCCCCGAAACAGCGGCAGGCAACCGCCACTTACCGTCAAAAGCCTTCTTGATCACAATCTCAACGGCCACACATATTCCGTGGAGGAGGAAGAAGCACGTCAGCTCCCACGTGGGCCACGTCCGTCCAATGTAATAGAAGATGAGCTCATGCATCACCGCCGATACGAAAAACGACGCGATTACTGCCGGTAGTGGGGCCAGCTTTTTCCCTAGGGCACGGGTGGAGATTTTCCGGACGGGTTCGTATACCGTCGGGTGGAGGATCTTGCTCACCATGATGTTCCATCTGCGTCCCCAGAAGTCCTGGAGTGAGGTGGCGAGGTAGGGCTCGTCGAACTGCGGCTCGAAATCAACGCCAAGGAAGACTCGGGCCAGGGATGCGACCAAGGCGAGGATAAGTTCAAGGCCGGTGTACATGTAAATGGAGTAGAGGAAGAGTAAGATTTTAGGGTGAATAAACTGTTTTTTGTGGTACACTTGTACTGACGTTGCAAAAATCAAAGCCTTGATCACGTAGTTGAGAGTCGACTTCTTGCCTTTTGGGAGAGGTTTTGAATTAGAAATTCTTTGCGCTGGACGTTCCGTCTTCTTTTCAGGGTTTTTGGGGTCGTTTCGGAATTTGATTGGAAGGCAAGCTAAGGGGATGAAATGATAGATGGAAGTGGGAGGGGTGGTGGCGAGGGGGCCTTTGTTAAAGGCAAAGAGGAGGAGCTTGAAGTTGGCAAGCCAAGCGAGGAAGAAAGACGATGGGCCGCCGAGAAAAATGGTGGTGAGATTGAGAGGGAGGTAGAAGAAGAAGAATACGACGGGGAGGATGGCGAGGAGTCTGGTGGTGCCGGGAGAAGTGAGGTTGCCGACGGTGTGACAGTAGGATAGTGATGCCACAACCAAAATCCAAACCATGATAAAGTTTGGGATTTCTCCTTCCAATTTCATCATTTCTGTGAACATTTCTTGTGAGACTCTGAGAGAGTATTAATTTTTGAGATGGAGGAAGATTGTGATATTGTATTATATATTCTGTGGATCGTTGATTTGATGGTTTTTCATTAGACAGTCGCCTACCATGACTCTTGGTCAGAAAAAGTTGGAATTCCAAGTCCAAAAACATGTAGGCATGTGCTATAAAGCCTATATTTTAGTTTCATATTAATTATATTAAAGAGAGAAAAATGATTTAAACAGGATGAAAAGGGCACCAGATCTCCTCCGGACCTAAATAAATTGAGCCTAAGGATCAAAAATCTGAATCGTTGAAATTTAATTTAATGGTTACAATTATTATAACTTTTAGAAGACCTCATGTTTGTAACTATTGGATCAAATTTTAACAGCCTGAATCCCTTACTCAGGAGACTCAATTTATTTGGATCCGAAGAGGATCCAGTTCTGATGATGAGAAAGCTTTAACTATTACTTATACATAAATAGATGGAAAAAGATTGCATGCCCTCCCTTTTTCCATGCCCTCTTGTTTTGTGTGATCATGGTTAAGCCACTTTAATATTTTATATTATTTTTTTATAAAAATAATAAGATAAAAATAAATAGTAATATAAAATGTTGACATGATTTAACCATGATCACACAAATAGAAGAGCATTGAAAAAAAAAAAGGCAAATAATCCTTGTCCTAAATAGATACCTTTAAGAATCAGAATAATAATTCAAGACATCAAATAACTTGCTTCTTCTTTTTAAGTCAGCTGTGGGGAACTATGTCTTCAGAAAAACAAACTTTACGACAAATATCATCACAATTTTAGGAGGTGAAATGCTCCCTCGCCAAGTTAGAAATATTATTTAACTCTATGAATCTCGAGTGTTTCTGACACGTCTCTTTGAATTAAGGTTACTTGTTTCTCGAAAAAATAAAAATAAAAGACTTCACCAAACCAAAGTGTGGGTGGGGGAACGTAGAATGAGTGGTGTTGTTTGATATTGGGTATTACCTTTAATTTCGGAACACTTGTTTATTGGCGTTGGAAGGTAACAAGAAAAAACAGATATTAATATTGAGCAGCCCGCCTTTGGTACACATGCAAATTTGCTTTTACTTGACTCAAGGATGGAACCGGATCTCTTTCGGATCCAAATATTCTGAGCTTAAGGATCAAAAGATTCGGATCGTTGAAATTTAATCTAACTACTACATTTATTATCTTTTATAGAGACTTCTTGTTTGTAACCGTTGAATCAAAATTTAACGGTCCGAATCCTTTGCTCAGAAGGTTCAGTTTATTTGAATCCGGAAGGAATCCGATTCCCTCAAGAATGACCTCTTCTAACTCTTTAGGTCGAATTTTCAGAGTGAATTTTGAGCGGCCCATGTTATTCTCCCTTAAAAGTCTCCGGCCATTTTCAAATGACGTAATCTGAGTTGCCAAACAAGTCATTTGCGTGATAAAGAAGTTGTATTGCAATCATTTTTCAAAAAAAGTATGGTCTGATTTGTGGCATGTGCAGAAGCTTCCCGACTTGACCTGGTGCGGTTAATTAGCCCCAGTCTATCAGGGTGCCGGTCCGACTCTTTGAAGGCGCTTCTCCTACGTCACTGATTTAAGTGTCAAAACTAATTAAGTATGTCCAAATCAGTTTTAATCAGGTCGCCATACCAAGTCGTGACTTTCTACATATTTATGATTCTATTACCGTGTGCTGATTTTTGTATGGTTGTGTCTTTTCTATATTATCTTTTTCATTTTTTTCGAATCGTTGGTTGAAAGTATATACAAATGACATTTGTATAAAGTAGATTCATCATTGCTCGGTACCTTAATTCATTGATGCAATATTAGAAAGTGAAAATTTTATATGATATTGTATTATTAAATTGAATAATTACAGTGACGGTAAACTCTTTCTATGTAAATCGTTCTTCATTCAACAATTATTTGCACAATATATCACGTTTACAATGTGGAGCAGCTACCGTTTAAACACTTATATTTGTGATTCAATTACCGTGTGCTCATTTTTGTATGTCGTGTCTTTTTTATGTTATCTTTTTCATCTTTCTCAAGCAGCTGGTTGAAAGCATGTACAAATGACATTCAAATTTATATAAAATGAATTCTTCATCCCTGGGTGCCTATTAACGCAATATTATAAAGTGAAAAATTTATATGATATTGTATTCTTAAATTGAATAGTTACAGTGACGGTGAACTCATTCTATGTAAATCGTTCTTCATTCAACAGTTATTTGCACACTATATCATGTTTACAATGTGGAGCAACGCTAATTTAGACAAAACAGACAACACAATTAAAACTTCCGCTCAAGCAAATAAGAGAGAAGTTCTAATAGAAATACTCATATTATTACTTAGTACTCCCAAAATTTTAACCTACGAACCAAAACCCATATTGAAAGTTCAAAAACACGAAGCACCTAATTTATTAATTTATTTTTTTGAAACAAAAGGCTGGGAATATTCCGAAACTTTCACCCGTGAACGCCTTCCGACTTTGAATCACTGGCAGATACTGCGGCCATTTCCAGTGGCGTTTCAAGCAAGGGTCAACCCTGGCGTTTCCAATTTAAAACTTGTGACAACATCAACACCCACCAGCAATTTTCAAAACCTACTCCCCACTACTAGCAGCAAATATTCTCAAATGTCCACAAAATTCTGGTAAAATTCTGGAAAGTATAGAACGAACGAATGTCAGCCCTCCGCCTGACGGCAAATATTCTCAAGACAATTTCAGACGCAAAGCTGTATAAAATCGGTTGCTTTAATGTCAAAATTAGATCAAAACTACAAAATGTCAAATCCACAGAACCATACCATACCGAATGTTTCTGAATTTCATGCAAATTCGATCTGCCACCTCAGTCCTCAAATCGTCTCGTGTTACTGGTGCTGCTCGTATATCTGCATGTATGTCTCAGACAGTGCAACCATTTGGGGAAGGGTTTCGGAGACGTGAAGGTCCTGCATCTCATACCTGAAAACAATGCCACAAGTTAGCCCTTACATTTTTCATTTTCTTTTGGTTTATATTAGGCCAACAAAATACGGAATAGATTTTACCATTGTTCTTCGGACTTCCTTTGTACAAACACCCTGTAGGAACCTTCACCAGGTTTACCATCATGTACAATGTTGGCAATGAGATCATACTTTGAGCGCAACCTCTCATTCTCATTGGTGGTTGACAATGGGATGTAGTCTTTCAATTCGAGATTCTTCACAGGGAAGTTCACTGAAAATTAATTCAGATACAAAATATGAGCATTATTGATTAGTCCAATGCAAAATATTTCGATAAACATATAATCTCACCTAAAGTCGGATTCTTCTCCACAAAGAAATTGTTCTTTGTAAAACGTTGGATGTGGAGAATAAGATACTGAGGTAATCGGGCGACTCGATACCTCATCCTTGATATGCGAGGTCGGACCACTTCAGTGATAGTCTCTCCATCAAATTTCTTCAGAATGTTGAAAAGTGGGACCTAAACCAAACCAGACGGAACTGAGAAATGCAAAATACATTTTGAAAAGAAAACTCAAAATAACAGTGCTATAAAACATTTAAACAGAGAATGACCTAAAACTGATGAGGCATGCCTGAAGGGCATGCTTTGGCTTCTTCCGAGGCTGGGTTTAATATTCAAGGAAAACAGAAAACCATTGCGATCAAATCAAGTAACGATATGGAATTAAATTAACCCCTTAGTTCAAAGAAACAACTATCCTCCATTCTGACCAACAAAAATGAGGAATTGCCCAACTACCCACCTTAGGCCTACACATTTATAACTACCCAAGATATATTATTACAGACTCCGACTGAAATGGCACCATTTAAAGTCAATGTATGTATTATGTAACTCAAGCAAATTCCAACTTATTTTATTTAGCCCTGAGAATCCCCTCCACACGCTAGGAAAAAGTTACTCAAGTTGTCATACGCATGAAATAGTGTTCAAGTACCTGGGGTATTATATTTTTCTCCATCACATCTTTGAAAAGCGGTGGTGGGGGCAAATCCAATCCAAGCATCAAGAAAGGCATTTTGTAAGTTTCCTTCACGATACCGTTATTTGCAGTAGCAGCACCTGTATTCTGGTCATCAACATTTTCTATTTTCTCAATACCTTTATTAGGAATCTCCTTCACAACCTCCAGTTCCCCCTATTCACAGAATATTACATATTATAATCTCAAAAACAAGTGCAGGTTAAGTTGAAGCAACAACAATACAGCAAACAAAGGAAAATAAGTAATAGAAAGAAACCTGAAAGCACTCAAATATGATGCTGCTATTTTTCTTCGAAGTTCTAAGATCTGCATGCAGCGTATTAAGCAGCCATGACATGAATTCAACTGGGTCAGACTGTGCTCCAATTCGAAACCTTTTCTTACTGGCTTTCATAACTGCCTGTAGGAACTCGTGCGGGCTGACCTGTAGACATTACCAATTTAGAACATATGAGCTTTTGTGTTTAATAACAATACCTAGTGACATAAATATGGAATCTACAAGAATCAAGATCAAACCTGTCCTTTGAAGTTTCGTGCATGCCATATCTTTCTTGTTAGCTCCCCAAATCGATGAACAAGCGGAGACTTGCAGTGTTGATAATTCTTAGGGATAAGGAAAAAATTTCTTAGAGGAGTGACTCTCATTAAAGATTGTATAGTGACATTCACGAAATCAGTCTCCTTAATGTTATTGAGCCCCACCTGTTTTTGGCAAAATCATGAAAACATAGGTACCAACAATTAGGAGCCAGAACTAAAACCTCACTTGCTGTATCTTGCTAAAATACAAGTTGTACTAAAGTGCACCCATCATACAAATCAATTCCTAATAGATGCTGCAAGCATGAAAATACAATACTTATGTGGTTCAGCACAATCTAGTCTAACCTTATGGATGAGAGAGAAAATCTATATAATCTAACCACTGGAATCATGCTGACTGGTGCTTCCTTTGCTCATATAAAAGTCTATCAAGACTGTCAAGCAACTCTATGATAGCTCTATTTGTTGGCTAGCCACGTAATAGATTTATCATAGCTAAATACTTATTTGGCAAGGAATAAAGGTCCTTCCCCGAGTAAGTAAATACAAAGGAAACGAAACTCTATAGTATTCACCACATATGGAATTGAGAAAAGCAGCAAGAGAACGCATATGGAATCTTGTGCAAGTAAGAACAAAAAGCAATACCATTCCAGGAAGGTAATCGGAACCATCAAGTGTCCTGGACCATTGCTTGTTTTTGTCAATCTGCTCCACTTGTTCCTCAGTAAACCTATAAAGAACCAAATGAATTAAAAATTATTTTAATTTAACCATGCAATCATGCATACATAAAAAGATACTCAAGGAAGACCAGAAAAATAAGAAAATATAATCAGACCTTGGGTTTAGGACATGCCGAATATCATCCAATGATGGATCACTTATTTCATATCCATCGGGAAGGCAATAAACTTTCTCCGTTTGAAGATTGATATAAACATGGTGTCCGGCTTCAAGGCTATGAGTATATGCATGGGACTTCCTCCCTCTGCCTTGATAATATTTCCCACAAACCAAACATGCATACACATTCAAATTTGACAGGGACAGAGAACAGAACTTCTCAAAATCAAAATCTAAAACCTGGACAAAGATAAGCAAGCAATCAGTATCAATACACCAGATACTTTTGTCTGAATAATACACATACAAGCTGGAATACCATATTGTAACAGATTAGAATAGTAATATACCTGACGATTGACGGCATCAAGATATGGGCAATCCCTCCTGACCTCGATTTCACGCCCCCGCCTTTGGTAAAGTCCTTGTTCAAGGTCATCATCATCATCATCCTCTACTTCTTCAACTTGACCCCCAATTTGTACACCCTTTTGATTAGCGCCACCTACCCCATTAGAGCCATTCACAGGTGGCCTTCTGTGGTTGTCCTCGTCTTCCACATCGCCGTAATTAAAACCCGGAAGTAAAGTGCCTTCAGTGGCAGGTGGCTGCAACGAATGCTCATTTAGTTTTTGCCTCTTTCGGTCCGATTCAAACCCTTCCATGTTCACACTAGCATTACCTTCATGTTCCCTCTTAGAGCTCATTCTCCTAACCCAATTTAAATCCCACAATTTCAACAATAATAGAAACAAATTAGGGAAAAAATCAAAATTTGAATTTCTGAAACCCTAGGTGCATATCACGACGCGGCCAGCAACAGAAAGATAGAAAACAGTTCTAATGTAAACCTATAAAAAGTTAATAAACGATAAAAAAAAAGTCGACTGGAAACTTAATTGCAACATTCCGAGTTTTAACAGCAAAAAATAAAGCATAATGCTCTGTTTGGTAGCCAAGAAAACGCGGGAAAGTGAGAGAATCACAGTGTTACCGTTACGTGCGTTAGGATCTTTCATTGCTTGATCGACCGAATTAAATTGAAAATTTCTTGAAAATTACATGTGCTTGAGAGAATCCAGACGAAATTAGCTTGGCGAAGATTGCAGAATTAGTACCTGGACCAGTTTGGTGTTCGCAGTCGGAGGAGAGAGAGCTTTCGATTTTGTTTCGAAGGAAAACTGGAAGGGAAGGCTCGGTCGAGACTCGAGAGGGAGTTAGAGGAGTAACGGATTGGGCTTTCCGGAACCCTTCAGGGTAAATATGGGCCTAATACTTAATAGGTCCAAATAGACCTCCCGGGCCATTATTTTAATGTTATAGTAAGTCCGCTATGTGATGTTAAGAATAAACGTATTATCTCATGACAATTGTTATTAACGTTTTAAAAATCTTATTTTGCACTCTAAATTTTCTATAATTAGAAAGAAAAATACACTTGTAAAGAGTGTAGAATGAGATTTTTGGTATAACCATTTCCTATATCATTAATCAATAAATATGTGTTAAGTTAAAGTTGGAATTATTTCATGTATTATAGGAATGTAGTTTCTAAATGTAATTAGTGTTCGTATAACCCTAATGTAATATTTTACAGAAATCAATACACGAGCCATATTTCTACCTAGTACTCCGTAATTATTTGGCTTTAATTTAGAGAAGTGTTATCAGCACTCTAAAAATATCATTCTACACTCTTCACAAGTGTATTTTTCTTTCCTAATATATGAAGTTTGGAGTGTAGAATGAGATTTTTGGAATGCTAATAATAATTTCCTTAATTTAACAAGTCATATTACTACAATATGTGTTATAATAAGTGACCTGGTAACACCAACATGTATCGACATAACATTTACATCAAAGAAATACTCAAATAATATCTTTGATCATAACACATGACGGTCTGATTTTCACGTTTCAAAAATCAGCCACTCAAAACCTAATACTATCATGAGATCAATCGAATCCGGAATTGGAAGAGGGCTAGTGCTCACGCATTGTTGTGGCACTCCTTTTTCCCCACTCGCTCATAACCCTACCTAAATGGAAAAAGGAAAGAAAACAAAAACAGGAAAGAAGAAGTGCAACAACCTACAAGGAATCTAATAGAGCGTATATAAATATAGTTCTAGATTGTAGACATAGGGCAGAGCCACAATTTACAAACCTCTTGTATTAGTCTCAACCATCTCGATCGTTATTTCTTCTTAAACTGTTTCTTTGAGTTACAGACTTGATGGCTCAGTGGTCCGATCTTCCTCATGATCTCGTCGTCTCCATCGCCAAGAGATTGCTTCTCTTGGAGGATTTTATTGTTTTTGGTGCGGTTTGTAGATCATGGAAATCCGCAGCGACCAAGGAGAACTTTACTAGAACACATCAAGTTCCATTACTTTTGCTTCCGGAGAAGAAGGGCACTACCCTCCGTGAGTTTTACAGCTTGAAACATGGCAAGGTTTTCAAACAAAATATGCCAGAATTAGTTACGGGAAAGTTGTTTTATTCTTCCCTAGGATGGTTGATGACTCAGTCTGATAAAGATTCGGAAGTTAATTTGTTGCATCCTTTAAATCATATGTGCATTGAGCTTCCAGACGTTGAAACATTTAAGAATCTTCACTCGAAAGATGAACATCGAAAACTGTTTGGTGATTTCATCGTGGGGAAATTTGTCTTGTCATCAAGCCCTTCATGGACATCGGATTATACTGTCATGATTCACAGTTGTAAAAGACTGGCAATTTGCAGACCGGGCTTGGGAGACCAACAATGGAACATCATAGATTCGTCGAAAACAAATGATCGATTGTATTTCGATATAACTTATTATGAGGGAAAATTTTATGCAGTGGACTACTTCGGCGAAATCTATGTATGTGAAACTGAAGATCCTAAGGCGCCAGCAAAAACAAGGATTATTGTCCCAAGGTTGCCGTACGAACTTAAAAGCCCTTACATCATTGAGAAACTATACCTTGTGGAATCGGCGGGGGCCTTGTTGCTCGTCATGTGTCCTTTAGAAACCATTGAGTGCTTCAGGGTTTTTGAGGTGCCAATGAGTGATGGAAATTGGTCGAACTCAGAGGTAAAAAACTTGGGAAACAGAAGTCTATTCCTAGGTTGTAATTCTTCATTTTCTGTTGAGGCGTCAAACTACGGATGTAAAGCAAATTGCATATATTACACGAATCGTCCACTTCAACGTCAACAAGGAGAGGACATGGGTATTTTTAACATGGAAGATGGAAAGGTCGAGTCGTACATAAAAGAATCACTCAATTTCCTAACTCCGCATTTGTGGGTTGAGCCTTGCTTATAAATGGTACAGATGTGCAAAACCCTAAACCGACGTTCAGGCATGCACGCCATGCAGATCACCAGCTCCAGAAAGCCAACCGATAGATGAGTCTATGAAATCCCATCGTCCGTTACACCCCTTGTATATATGCATGTAGGTAGCAGTTAATGAAATCATTCCGTTTTTTAATTTTAGTTTTTATTATTTTGGCGCTATAGATAAATGAAAACTATGTGGGTAAAAGGACTATGAAAAGTGTGAAGAAATTAGTGTATATTGAATGTCAAATCGGACGTCCCCGAAGGGACTTTCTTCCATGTCTTTTCACTCTATCTTTAATACAAAATATCAAAACTAAACGAAATGGTTATGTTGTCTCTAACACAAAAACATGTACACTAGGAAACGAACTAGGAAGAAGAAAGAAGAAGAGAAAGATTTGGAACAATAGAGAAATGTACACTCTTTGCTTATATATATATAATGTCAGGTCGCTGAACAGAGAGTTCGTTATTTTGGTTAGTCCCTTTAAACGCGTGAAAGAGAAATACAAGGGTTTGATTGTTTGAAAATGCTTTTAGAGGAGTACTTTTCAGGACCCACTTGTCTTTTAACTAAAAATTAGTTTCAAAAATATTTTCACTAAATGTGCTTTCAGCTATTTTAAAAGCACTTCTAAATGAACTCGTAGTTTATGAGGTTATTACTTAGTGGAAGAATGAGCGGGAGAAACTTCACTACTAATTCACAACTAATCTGGGAATGTCGGGTAAGAAAGGCCCACTTTCCCTGCTGAAATTTTTTTCACTGCATTTCTTTCAACTTTTAATTCAGCACGGAAGCAGTCAATTAACACGAGAAAATTAAGTTAATCATACAAACAATTGTAATCCCAGAGAATAAGGAGAGTTGTGCCAAAGCAAGCAAAGCTCAATTTGTTAACCAACATACACCTAGTAAGCAGTGGAATAATTCTCACATGATTACAATGAAATGCAGATCATCTCAGCATGGGAAAACAATGGACAACAAATCGATAAAACAGATAGACTTTTACGCCGATTGCCAGTCTTTTCGGATATCAAAGGTGTAATTGATTTCCAAGTAGCACTTGTTGTCATCGTCAACAAACTGCACCACAAAAGCAAAAGGGAAAAATGTGAGATAGTGAGTGGAGTTCATGTCCAAGAGGGCTTTTTGCATAATCCTAATGTATTTCATTCTTGTTCATTCTTTCCGCATAAGGGTACGGTTTTCTGAATCTGCTTTGAAAGATCTGAGGTTATGGAAACATCAAGCGCCGGTTTAACTTACCTTGCTTCGAGCTGAATAAGATCCCCTAGCAAATATGCCAGATGGGGTTGTGTCCTCAGGCAACACATGTGTGTAAGGTTCTGACTGTGGACTAAATGTTCCAAGCATCTCTCTTGTGCTATCAACTGCGAAGAAAATAATCCATGAGAACAAAAACATCGAAACTCCTTAAGGCTTATCTATGCTGTTACATAATATGAATGTGTGTGTGTGTGTGTGAGAGAGAGAGAGAGTACCTTTCACAGCAGTTTTCCAGACTGTGTTTGTGTATTTGAGACCTGAAACAATGTTATTGCTGACCTGAATAGTGAATTCGAGGCTGTAACGGCTACCTTCTTTTAAAGTAAACCACAACCCTTTGGGATTTCCGTTCTCAGGAATCGGAAGAATTATATCAGATCTGCCAGGGGATTTAATTGCAAGGCTCATGATCTTAACATCTGGTTCTAGAGTTTCTGCACAAACACACAGAAACACAAAGTAATTCAATCAGAAAACATAAAGACCGCTACTGCTAGCCAAAATCAGTGTCATATTCATACAACGAAAACATTCGGAGAGAAATTAATCAAACATTACAAACATCTCTTTTACTGAACGTTGAAGATGCATCGATAAACAGATGAAGATAAAAAGAAAAAGCTTGCAAACAACTTATATACCTTCTAAAACATGAAGCGGATTTTAACTAACCTAATCAAAAGATTAGTTTAGACCAAAATTTACTCGCATTGCACTAATCAAGCGCACAATGTACGAATCAAGCCAGAAATATAAAAAAAAATTACTGTTTTTCGCAGCATAGAACATGTTTGACCTCTGATGTATACAAGAAAGATAGGATTCTAGTTGACGAAAAGTTCGTTTTCAGTTCCAAAATCTAAAAACTGAAATGGTTATCAAGCGGAGTCATAAAGTTATGAACTTTAGCTGTAAATTAAAAGGGAAAATTCAAAATTTAGTAATTTACACACTTTGATGCTCCATTATCCATTTGACAAAAAAAGGAACTCGAAAGTAAAAGAATTTGGCTAGTTATGAAGATTACCTCCAACAGAATTAACATCTACACTCCCAAGAAGCTGTTCCTTCCACCTCCTCAAGCTCTCATCGTCCTAAAACCCCAAAATTATCACCACAAACAAACAAACAACAACATTAGACAGAAACAAAACCACAACACCATATTCTTCAAACACAGACAAGAAAATTAATTAAAACACAAACCGCGTCCTTCTCAATTTGTTCTTTGAGAGTGCACTGAGGCCCCAACTCAATCTTCTTTACTTCGTCATCGTCGTCCTCGTCCTCGGTCTGATAGAGGGAACCCTCGCTGGGTTCTCTAACCAACCCTGTGGACGGTTGATCCACATTTGCCCCACCAGTTTTCGCCGTCTTGTTGGAGACCTCGGCGGTGTTTTCATCATCCAGCCCCATGTTTTTGGAACTCGAAACAACTCCAACGGCCAGAGACATCAACAGGCCATCAACCCCCAACAAAAAGATAATGGGTTACAGAGAATGTAGACCCAATGACCAAAGTATTATAAGTAGAAAGTGAAAAAAACAGAACAAAACAAACAAAAAAAACAAGACAAAACACCCACTTGGAAGAATCTCTGTGGGAAAACAACAATCAATGTGGGAGATAAAAACCCAATAAAATATGAAGGAATTTTAGTAAAACCCAGAAAAGTGACAGAAAATTAAGAAAAACCCAACAAGGATAAACCTTGCAGCAGGAAAAAAAAAGAAGGCGGAGGTGGGAGAGAAGGGGTTGTTGAGGAGGAGTGTTCAAGGAGAGAGGAATGGTCGTATGGTGATCCGAAATTTAGAGAGAGAGAAGGGTGGAGAAAGAGAGGAGAGAGAGGAGGGTGGAGAGATCGTGAGGGTCGCTTATTTCTTGCAGCACTAGCTTCCACGAAGACCAGGATTCGAGGAGGGCTTTTCAATTTTTGAAACACAGAAACAAAGACATCGGATGAGACAGGCTAAAGCCGAAGATAGGTGGACCAAAGATAGCAACTTTGACCCCTTCTTCTTATGCGATTTTTATCTTTCGTAGTTTCACACTTTCACCATGCGTTTTCGGACGTAACATGTACATAATCATATTAGTTAGAACAGATAACGTAATTACATTCGCTTAAGCACTTGACCTCGAGTCTTTTTTGCATTTAAATGGTCGCGGTGCAATGTTCACTCGCTCGCTATTACTTTTCAAAATTGTAACTTTCAGTTAAACGTGAAAATAAAAGAGATTGATCAAATAAATATCCTGATCAAATAACATATTCATAATGATTGATATGTGAGTCGAGACTAATAATGTGGCACTATATAGCCCCACAATGCTTTATAAAATTCATGGCCAGATCATTTTCCGTGCATGAGCAGCATGACAGTATTTTCAAATAATTTGGGAGGTTAGCCTCTGATGATGGATTTAAATTTCTTGGCAGGGGATTATTTGATTTTTTATAAAATTCATGGCCAGATCATTTTCCGTGCATGAGCAGCATGACAGTATTTTCAAATAATTTGGGACGTTAGCCTCTGATGATGGATTTAAATTTCTTGGCAGGGGATTATTTTTTATTTTTTATTTTTAAAAGGGGACACTGATATTATCCACCCCTTAGCATCTCCTTAACCACAAATTTGGCTTCCACACCAGCAGTGGGAGTGCCTCTCCTTAAACACAAATTTGGCTTTTAAACCAGCAACAGGTTTCGAACTACTAAAAAAAAATTTGAGGATCCAACGCGGAGGAATCTAAGCAATGATTGGATTATGATTGCACCTAATTATTGGAATCTGGTCAACCTTTATATTAGGCCATTTCTCAGAAAAACTTGAGGTAGGAAAATGCATTTCCGGTGATAAAAAGCTAATCACACGGTGGGACTCACGTAACACAGTACATAATTGATTGAGACTGCTGCTACAGTTGTATCCCCCCAATGGACGGTCCGTCGTGCTCAAGACTGGCTATAAATTGCCATAACAAAGGTGGCCGTCTGCTGACAAACAATAAAGCGTATGGTAGGTGTTCATAGAAGGAAATACAGCTCGGATGATTGTGAAATAAGCCAATGAACTCAAAGACTTTATGGGAAGACCGCGACGCGTTTGGAATATTTCGTGATTTCAAATTTGAATTCACAAAGCTGGTCATTCAAATTACCCGAGAGCAGAAGTTTCGTGAATTCCTTGATTATCCAAACTTTTGTGCCTAAATCTGGACAGTCCTTCAAAATTTGATGGCAGAAAATGCAACCATGCTCATTTTCTTTTTTCCTTTTTGGATGAACTGCACTTTATACAACGACTACAAAACTTTATCCCACTAAATGGTGTCAGCGGTAATTTACTCATAGTCCCCATAATTTACTCAGAAATTTACTTTCATCCTTGTGTAGTTCTTTCTTTTCATTTTTGTCCTCGTAGTTTTATTCTGTTAGCATAGTTTGTCGAATTCCTCAAATAAAGCAAAATTCTTCCAACTTGGGTTTGGGTAAATATATATAAGGAGTTTTAACGAAACACTCCCGGTACTGTTCACTTTTAATGAAAAATCACATTTTTACCTTTCGGTACTATTCACTACACCTTTATTTGTCATTTTTCATTAAAACTAAAGTTTTTTTGGACTTTTCATTAATTTTCCTATATATATATATGCACTACATAGTCTATATTGGATGGGAAAAAATCAACTCTAGTTAACAAATTGGACTAAAGTGAAAACAAAACAAAACTACACGAAATGGAGCAGAAATGCTATAGGAATAAAAGTGAAAATTCGAGTAAACTACAAGGACTACCAGTGCAATATCACAGTGGGTTGGAAATTCTGTTAAGTGCCCATAACGAATACCAACCTATCCATCCAAATATCATAGAAAAGAACATGGACTGATTCATTCTGCATACAAGGTCGAACAAAATAACATTTTATGTTGTGTTCAGTCATGTGTTCTATTTCAGAATGCCAGGGCCTGTAAAGCTAGCATACAAAAATCCTAGGTTGATCACAGGTTCGGCATTGCGGTGAATTAAACACATTTTGGACTTGAGATACAAAATATAGCGGTCACATTCTCAATGCATGTTGGGAGTGATCTCAAACCTGAAACAAAATCATCACTTACTAGTCACTTCCCCACTTTCTCAGAACACTCTCTTTAGCGGAGACAGTGCCGTAGGCTTCCTTCATCGAGATATTATGGCCATCTGGTGCTGTCTTCCTAAAGATTCTAGACGTTATTAAAGCAAACCCATTTCTAGTCCCTCGCAAGGCATATAGCAACGGATTGAAGATGACAGCAAGCATCAGTTCTCCCTTTGCTATTATGAGATACTGAAAATCAAGAATAGTCATATGAGAGAGAAATAGAGAGGCCTATATATTTATTCACCACACAATGGCATTGAGTTGAACCTAAAAATGGGACAAGAAAATTTCTTACCATCACAATGATACCCATCACAGCAAGACTTGCTTGTTGTGCTTCTTGCCAGAAATTGCCATCATTCGACCATCCAAACCATCTACCCCACCCAAACCATCCCCCACCACCAGCGCTACCTCCTCCACCCACCTCCTCTCTTCTCTTAATTTCTTTGTCCCATTTCTTGAATTCATCTTTCTTTCCACCAAGTGCACCTTCTAATGCTTTCCTAGCTTGGTCCTGGAACCGTACAATGGTTAAGTTAAATTCATACACAAAAGAGAAACCTGCATTTAAATTGGTGATAGGGACAACTATACTGATCATGACCATAACCCTTGATTAATCCTAAGAACATTATAGGCAAAATAAGCTTTTCTGCAAGCTGAGTAGAACAACCTTTTGTGTGCATCATTAACTCAAAGAAAAGAAGGACTCGGCGAATGATAAAAAGGAGAAAGAGAATATAACAATAAATCATATAATATTATGTATTCTACATGAAGGATCAAATGCCTAATTTTCATCTGTATTGGTTTTTGTAAAGCAAATCATCCACATATTTATAATTGTACGAAATAATGTTCTTGCTCACAACACTTGATTCTATATTACAATTCTCCAACAAATTGAATGCTCAAACTACCAAAGACTCGGTTTTTATTCAGAACTCAAATCAATGCATAAATTGCTCCTAAACTCACTAATCTCACTTCCCTCGGGCACTAAAAGAACGCGGCACATTCCGGATATAATTGACCGTTCAAATGGAACACTAACTGAGTATGCAGTTCCTCAAACCGCACAGGGCAAATGGCAAAGCAGAGACAGACACCACGAGAAGGAAAAAAACATAATCACTGAGTAACTAACATTAAGGAACGCATAATTGCCAAACAAAATACAAACCCAACTGAATCTGATTTCTCAATTTGTCCAAAGTTGTTCACAATTCACATTGTCAGCTATCAAAATTTTGAAAATTGGGTAATTTTATCGTCTCTTCTGACAAATTAGAAACATAGGTTCTTCATTTCCCAGTAAAAAAGATTCAAAACCATCCAATGAATGCAGTATAACATATCATAGAGGGATATTAGAAAACAAAAGGGGGAAATTGAATTGAAATTTGGTAACTTTGGGACCTGTTTGCGATTGTCTGAGAAAAGGCAAGAGAACCTGCCGCGGCACTTGAGCTTGAACAGCAGAGAATTCCAGTCCTGGGTTGCTTCATTTGGGCGGGAAATGACAGTCGGCAGTGGGCGAGTGGAGGAGGAGGACGACGACAACGACTGAAGGAGTAGGGTTTGCGCTTGGGATGGCGGGATTAGGTTAAGAACCAGCACCATCTTAGCATTTCGCACCAAGTTTTTCTCCTGTATTAAACGTTAGGAGAACCTGACATTGAAACGCTGCGTTTCATATTTTTTTTCTTTTTTTCTTTTTGTGTTGATTCTTTTTCCTCTTTGGGTACAAGGACTCATCATTTCTATCTTAATTGGTAGTATAATGTCGAAATTAATAGGCATACGTAGGTTAAGTCGGTTGGTTCGAGAATGTGTTTATTATATCGCACGCAAGTTAGAATCTATTTATGATACATTACATTAGGTAAAAATAAATATAAGGATATCGAAAATAATAGTGGAGTCTTTTCCTTGCTCATACAAAGTTACAAACTAAACAATAGAATAGTAAGCGTACATTATCAATTGATTTAACGGTTTTCAATCTTCATTTGAGTAAAGAGAGTATGTTCAACTCGTACGAGTACAAGAGAGAGATGTTTCTATGATATTGAATTGTGATTAACTGTTACTTATTGCGAGTGAATTGTACTCGTTGCAACAAAATATATTTGCAAATATCAAATCATTTGTTTAAAAACAAAAACAATAGAAGATTAAGTTATTTTGATTACTAAAGGGAGAATAAACAATTGTTTTTTCAATAAAAATTGAGTTCAAAATATAATGAATTAAAGTAGGGCTGGGCAAACGGGTCCAAGATCCGCGGGTAGGGGCGGGTAATGCGGGTACAGGGCGGGTACATAAATTGTAAATTCAAAATGGGGCGGGGCGGGTACAATTTTCAAATAAAGCGGGCCCCCGGTCCGAACCTTTTCCACCGTTCAATTATAGGGATTGAATCCCCACCGTTTATTTTTAACACAGCCACATTTCGAGTCCCCGACTCCTCTCGACCTCAATCTCCAGATCCAGATCCAGACCATAGTCCTCTCGAGTCCTCCACTCATTTCGAGTCCCCGACTCCTCTCGACCTCAATCTCGACCTTGACCTCGATCTCAACCTCGACCTCGACCTCGACCTTGACCTTGAATTCTTCGTTTTAGCAACCATTTACAACCTCCAGAATCCAGATCTCAACGCCTCTAGTCGTCGGGGGTCTGTCGGTCGCCACATTCCTTTCCTATTTCAGCCATGCCCGAGAAGGACGACGCTCATTCGAGAAGGAAAAGAACCTCAAGCTCTTCCTCGAAGTCAAATTGGACGAGCGCGCGGCCAAAAACACCATTGCCAACATCGCCAGCCTCATCGTCGTCATTCACGAGGTACTCAATCGTTGATTTTCTTCTTCTTTTGCTGCTTAATTTTTGGGGTTTTCAGATTTAAATGCATGCAATTCACAATCCCGCGGATGTATACTTTTAATTTACTTATTTTGTTGTTCTTGAATAATTCCAAGCCGTGCTTACTAATGGATCCAGTTTTCTGATTTGTCTCTGGCAGCTCTTCAACTGGGAGTCTGGTGGGATACTGAAAATTAAAGAGAGAGAGAGAAAGAAAAAAAAAAAAAAAAAAGAGTACCCGTAGGAACCGGCCCATTTTATACGGGCCGGGTTAAGTCCGATTCTCATTTTCAAAATAGTAAAACCTGTCCCGCCCCGGCCCGTTGTATTTTCAAGCGGGTCCGGTCTGGTCCCTCCAATTTTGGGCCCGGCCCGGCCCGGCCCGTGCCCAGCCCTAAATTAAAGAGAAAATATCTGACCACTATAATAATTCACCCCTTATAAATGAATGTTAGTACAAATACTCATGAAAGCCATAAAACGTTCATAGGTCCACAACATTACAAACCTTTTTAGTCAACATAACACTTTGGGTTGGGCCGTAAATGAAAGCGCATTGCTATTTTACGTTCAAGTTGGATCGGTATCCATGTTGGGTCAACATTTTCTCGAATTCCCTTATTCAATTTCATGGGTTAGGACTTAGGAATTGTGTGGCACTGGCAAAGCACTACTACAAAATTAACTTAATCGTGTGGCATTGAAAAGTCCTTTATTCGATATGATTGCTCTTATTTTAATTTAACGCGTTTTCCATTTTATTGGGTAATTAAGGGCTGGTTTGGTATTGCTGTATTTTGAAAAAAAGTTGCTGTGAGAATAAGCGGATGTGCTGTGAGAATAAGTGGCTGTGAAATAAATCAGCAGAGTGTTTAGTAAACTTTTTTGTAAAAGTGCTTTTGAAAAAAAAAACAGTCTGATAGTGGGTCTTTTCATTAAAGAAGCACTGTAGCTCCGTGTGCTTTGAAAAAAAAACCAGTTTTCCAAAGCTGCAAATAGCAGTTTCAGCTTTTTCCTTTGATTTCAGCTTATTCTCACAGCAGCTTCCAAAATAAGCCATTTTTTTTTCAGTATACCAAACACCTAAAACCCTCACAGCTTTTTTTCATGGGTACTTTTTTTTTTAAGCATCTCACTCCCAAACCATCCCTAAGACTACTCTCTGACATAAAAAGCCTTTTTGTGACAACGCATTGTTGTCGCTTTTCTTATCTGACATAGCAACGAGTTCCTATCGTTTTTTACATAATATCCAACATGAATTTGTTTTTATTGTCATTTTTTGAACGCCAAGTAGGGGGCCTAAAAATCGGAAAACCGAATTGAACCGTGACAAAAAAAAAACCCGTAAAAAACCGTATTAATCATAAAAGTTAAAACCGGATAAAAAACCGAACCGAACCGTTTCAAACGGTTTCGATTCCGGTTTGGAAATATAAAAAATCGAAGGAACCGGATTGAACCGTTTTTAATATAAATTATTGTTTTATTATTATTTTTATATAAATAAGACATTTTCCAATAAGACCATGTGCATCAGCCCAATATTTTTCTTCACTTCTCTCCCCCTCCTTTGTTGTTTTATCACTTTTCTTCTCCCTACATTATTTTTCTCCATCTTGTTCCAATATATTATGCATTATGTACATTTTAGTTTTAGTTTGAGATCTACACTTTGGTTTTGATATGAGTTTTTCTATCTTTTGATTTATATTTATATGCACACTTTATATTTTCCGGTCACAAATCTTGTAGATCTAGTAGTGGAAACTCAAATTTACTTGAATTTGTGGTTGAAATATGTGTATGATATTAGAAGTAGAAAATTAGAAAAGATATATATATAATTTTGATTAGAACCGTAAAACGGCATGAACCGAATCGGAACCGTCATAAACCAAACCATATAATTTTAGTAATAAATTTAAACGAAACCGTACCAAACCGAACTATTAAAATTTTTCGATTTCAATTCTATTTTGAGAGTAAAATCGAATCGAACTGGACCATGCCCACTCCTAACATCAAGAATGAGTTGTTACGTAGTAGTGAAGCATATATCTCTCAGGCTCTCAAGCATGATTAAGACTTGAGACTTGCTGCTGTAGTACATTCCAAGTGATCCCACACGGAAAGAGAGGTATGTGGTGGGTAAAGATCTGAACATGGTCTGTCTGCTGATAGATAACTCCAACTACTTTCTCCACCTTCGGATCAAGCGACAACTTCCAACAGTGGTTGACCAAACCACACCAATCCCTATCAAACGGTCCATAGTCAAAACCATAAATCTTGTTTTCCTGACTAAATCTGTCCTTTTAGAGAGGATCTCTATGTGAAAATCTTCTTCGGATTTTTTTTATGAGGATTTCGGAAATCTTTTAATTTCATTCGTTTATCGTGTATCGTACGATTAGTTTTTGTCAGATACTGTTTATATTCAATTTAAATAAAAAAAATTACAATAATTTCTGACAGTATGATGGACAATGAATTGATATACGATCTTCGAGATCCTCAATCTTGTCCTTCTTCTTATCCACGATGCGAATGAGAGGTTTTTCAATGTGTCCGAAATGCGAAATACTATGTGCATGTCATTATATAAATAGAAAGATATTTGAAAAATAATTTTTTTCTCGATTTATTTTATAATGTATGGTATACCACGTTGGGTTTCAAACACATAAAAGTTTTTCCGATGAAGGAAAACATCCGCCGATTCTGGTTAGGGTATTGCACTAAGGGCTGGTTTGGTATTACTGTGCTTTGAAAAAAGCTGCTGTGAGAATAAGTGGTTGTGCTGTGAGAATAAGCGGCTGTGAAATAAATCAACAGAGTGTTTGGTAAACTTTTTTGTAAAAGTGCTTTTGGAAAAAAAAGCAGTCTAATAGTGGGTATTTTCAGTAAAGAAGCACTGTAGCTCCGTGTGCTTTGAAAAAAAGCCAGTTTTCCAAAGCTGCAAATAGCAGCTTCAGCTTTTTCCTTTGATTTCAGCTTATTCTCACAGCAGCTTCCAAAATAAGCCTTTTTTTTTCAGTTTACCAAACACCTAAAACCATCACAACTTTTTTTCATGAGTGCTTTTTTTTTAAGTACCTCTCTCCCAAAGTAGGTCTAATTCAATCATCAACTTTGGTTTCTGTATCCATAGACAAGACAAGTTTTATTCTCTACGTCGTTATCTCTTTATCTTGAATTTGAAAAGTGAAAACAAAAGAGATGGAAAAAGAAAGAAAGTCAGCTTTTAACTTTATCAGATGACATATTTGCCCCAAATCTTTTACCCACAACAAGGGTACTTTATTATTTTCAAAAATTAAATTAGGAGAGAAAGAAGGAGATGAATTTTCATGTACAAGAAGAGAGATGCAATAGTGACAATGTCAAGACAATTTATGCATTGTCGTGGAAGAAAGTTTAAATATGTAATAAGATATGATTAATTTTGAATATCGTTATAATAATATATTGATATAAATAAGTAGTTTTTGTAAAAGTCTATAGGTGAAAAAGAATATTTTTTTTCTATTTATTTTACAGTAAGTTATTCTTGTAAGTTTATTTTTTACATTCATACGATGCATGATTAATTTTGAATACCGTTACAGTAGTTTTATAGTATAAGTTTTGTAAAGATGTAAAGGTGATAAAGATTTTTTTCTATTTATTCTAAAAAATTTGATTCTCGCACACTTATTTCTTGAATATACACACTCTTAATTATTTCTGACCTTTTGAGTTTATAAAGTAATAAAAAGAAAAATTAAACAAAATGTGCACAAAGAAAAAAATGCGCCTAAATATCATTTCCCCTTTCCAATAATTTCTATCTCAAAGAATGGGCAGTACCGACTTTTTGCCGACAAAACAAACACAAAGGGATATTTTCGTGATTGCAGAATTATAAGAGGGAGGTTGAGAGTAGAGAGAGACAGAGAGAGGAGGAGAGAGACAGGGAGAGGGAGGGCAGACATTGAAGAGCGTTTGATTTTCCGTTTATTCAGTTTACTATATGTAGCGCCATGGCGTCGGACCAAGAAATTGCGGAAGGTGTGGAGACTGTGCTCCGTCAATCAGGCCCTAACGACGTCGCCTCCGTAAACGGCGTCGTTCAGCAGCTCGAGGCCAAGCTAGGGTTGGACCTCTCCCACAAGGCCGGCTTCATTCGCGACCAGATCAACTTCCTCCTCCGCCCCTACGCCCAACCCCCAAAAGCCCATTTTGCCTTCCATTACAACCCCAACCCCCACAGCCACCACCCCCACAACCAGCACCCTCAATTCCTCCCCCAACAATTCCCTCCCCATTTTGCCCTCCAACCGCACCACCTCGCCACCGAACCCCACAGCTTCCACCCACCGCCACCGCCGCATCAGCAACTACGCCCTCAGCCTCAGCCTCAGTCGCAGCCGCAGCCTCTGCCTGTGAAGACCGAGGCTTTCCCCCAAAATGCTCCCACATCCGCCCCGGAAACCCCCAAAGAGAGGTTCGGATTTCATTTTAAAAAATTTTGAAATCAGAAAGTGTGGATTTTAGGGTTTTGCTTTCCTTTACATTTCAACGGTTGCATGTTTAAGAAAATCATTGGTGCCCATGTTCCTAGATGTTTAAGTTCGTATTTTTCGAAATTTCTACTTTTTTTCTTTTCCTGTTTGCTTCCACCAAATTTTGCTAATTTGCATATCTTAATTGCTATTTCTCACTAAACGTTTTCTCTTTCGGGTAAATTGAGACTAATGTGAAAATCGATTGCAACAAATGAGGGAACAAAAATATTGAAATTGGCCTTTAAACCCTTCTTAGTACCAGTTTGGTACTGCTGAAATTTTTTGAAAAAAAAAGCTCCCAGATTTTTTGTGTTTAGTAAACATTCAAAATCAGCTTTTTTTTTCCACAGTTTTGGACGAAAAAAACCAATAATTTAAAGCAGTTAGGGATGGTTTGGGAGTGAGGTGCTTAAAAAAAAAAAAAAAAGTACCCATGAAAAAAAAAAAGCTGTGACGGTTTTAGGTGTTTGGTAAACGGAAAAAAAATGACTTATTTTAGAAGATGCTCTGAGAATAAGTTGAAATCAAAGGAAAAAGCTGAAGCTGCTATTTGCAGTTTTGGAAAACTGGTTTTTTTTCAAAGCACACAGAGCTATACAATGCTCCTTTAATGAAATGAAAAAACCTACTATCAAACTGTTTTTTTTTTTCCGAAAGCACATTTACAAAAAAGTTGAAAGCATATTTACAAAAAAGTTTACCAAACACTGTGTTGATTTATTTCATTCTCACAGCACAACCGTTTATTCTCAGCAGCTTTTTTTTAAAGCACAACAATACCAAACCAGCTCGTATAATTGTGATCGGAAACATTTAACCTTTTTCGCTGACGAATTGTCTTTCGGATAAAGGTCAAAGACTCAAAATGCTGTTATTTGTCCCTTTGCCAAAAACGTGAAATACGAACTAGTAGGACCGTAGGGGGTCAATTAGTAAGAGTTTCACTCTAATTATATATAAATGTGAGCTTACATAACATAATCTTTGCTTTAAGACTCTCAATTATTGAAGAGCTAGCTTAACCGTGTGACTAATTAAACTAGTTCGGTTGGGCGTTAATATTGCATAAGTTTGGTGGTTTAGTGGGTTAAAGTTTCATCCTGTTAATAGGCTTTGGGAATTAACTATTTGGAAAAGCAGCATCATCCTTTTATTCACCTATAGCTCAAATATTATCTTGTTGTTTTGTAGTTGCAAGTAATCTATTGTTCTTCGTTTTATTTCATGCTGCAATGGATGAACTGACATGCTTTAGTTCCGAAATGTTACTGCAGTGCTCCGTCTTCTGGAACCAAGAGAAGAGGGGGGCCAGGGGGTCTTAACAAAGTCTGTGGTGTCTCACCTGAGCTTGAGGCTGTTGTTGGTGAACCGGCCTTGCCGAGGACTGAGGTTACTACTCCCAAATAAACCTGTATTGTCTTTTTATGCTAACTTATTATGTTCAATGACGTGCCTCAGATTTTGGTCGGTAAATCTTAAAGTAGGTTTGTGGGTGTGTATTAAGATTTGATTTTTGCTTATTTCAGATTGTGAAGCAGCTCTGGGCATACATAAGGAAAAACAACCTCCAAGATCCAACTAATAAGAGAAAGATAATTTGTGATGATGCCTTGCGTGTGGTATTCGAGACAGACTGTACTGACATGTTCAAAATGAATAAGCTGCTATCTAAACATATTATACCCCTTGAACCTAACAGTACGTAAACACTAAGTATTGGTACAGATACTGTTTTATGATGGCTAGATTAATTTTATATCCTTCTCCTCTGTATATGCAGAAGAGCCAAGTCAAGCTAAACGATTGAAGGTAGAGGCCAAGTCTACAACTGAGAGTACTCAACCTCAACCTCAACCTCAACCACAAGCGCAAGCGCAACCGGGGTCCCCCACTGTAGGAATATCTGAAGCACTAGCTAACTTTTTGGGCTTTGGAGGAAGGGAGATGCTCCTATCTGAGGCAAGAAGACTTCTTTGGGAGTATGTAAAGGTTAACCGTTTGGAGGTAAGTATCCAGGTGCTGAATTTTGTACATCCTCTCCCTCGTAGATCTAAGATGATTATTTTATTGGGTACATTGTATTTATCTCCATTATTCCATAAATGGGAGTAAGGCTAGCCGACATTCACCTCTTCCAGACCCTGCGTAAAGCGGGAGCCTTGTGCACTGGGTACGACTTTTTTTTTTATTCCATTATCAACCACCAGCTGTAATTGTCCTTACCTTTCTACTTGCTTAACTGCCGCCTTGCTCAGTTTGAACCTTTCTTCCCCATCACAGTGCATTTGGAAATAAGACTTACAATGGTGCTTTGCTTGTATTTCCATAGGATCCTTCAAATTCTACAGTGATATTATGTGACGCAAAGCTCCACAAACTTCTTGGCTGCGAAAGCATTTCTGCTTTGGGGATACACGAGATGTTAGATCGCTATCATTTATTCAAGCAATCATGATTTCTGGTAGTGTTGACTGGTTAGTATAAGCTCCATTTGTTTAATTCGTCTCATTTATTTCTTAATGAAATTGTGTGAATATAAACTGTCTAGCTTAGTTTACTGCCTATCAATGTCGATGTGTTTTCGACAATCAATGAAATGGTCTGTGTTTATTCTTTTGCAGGTGCATAGGACCTTTGCGACCTGTTCTCTTCTGATTCATAGAAAAGATAGGAAAGAACACTTCTTTATATCCGTTTTTTCTTCTTTTTCGTCTTCTCTTTTCGTGCATTGATGTGGTTAGGTGCTACGCCGTCTTACATGTCGTGGTTATGTGTATCTAGGAATGCTATATGCTGTTGGTTAATGGCAACAAGATTCTTAGATCATGCCATTGCCTAGGTTACTTCTTTTTAGTCGTCTTCTCCTAACCATAACCGTGACAGAATGATAAGAAGAAGCTCTGTACAGCGTGGAAGGACCCTTGTAGTTCCATAGATGGCAGTAAATGTTAGTTTTAACGGCAACTTGTGTATCTTCTTACCTCGCAGTAAATTCCTATTTTAACTTTGATTTATTTGCTTTCTGGCTTTCTTGATGGTAAATGAATTTTAGACGATTCAAATTGAATAATCTTTAAACATTTAAAGAATCAAGTTGAAAAAAGTTGGTTAAAACTCACAAATTTTGTGAAGAAAAATTGAACTTTGTAGTTTTAGAAAATATTTTGTGTGGGCGCTAAGAAAATATTGCAAGACTTTTGGATGTGATCCTATGAAATTATTTTTTATTGATTTTTGAAGCTGAAACATAGAAAAAAAATAATATAAACTAAGAGTGGGCCCCAAATATTTTTCCATGTGTCGAAAATTCTCTGAACGTCCTAAATAAATTTTTGGAAACATGTAGTGACAAGAATAACTCGAATTTTCTATTATAGTAAATCTAAAAATTTATCAAAATTGATTTGAAAACGTGAGTTATACAGTTTTTGTAAAAAAATTGAAATTTTTGGTTTCAAAATATATTTTGCGTGGGAGCTAAGGAAAATGTTGCGAGACGTTTAGATATGATCCTCATCCTACCATTTATTAGGTCCATAAACTATTTTTTAATGATTTTTAAAGTTGAAAACTAGAAAAAATAATATAACATAATGGTGGGGCCCTTGATATTTTTATGTGTCGAAAATCATCGTAATGTCCTAAATTAATATTAGGAAACATGTGGTGCGACGAGAATAATAAATCTTGTAAAAATTCTCAAAATTGATTTTGAAAACGTGGGTTATAACTCACAGTTTTTGTGAAAAAAATGAAATTTTTAGTTTTAAAAAATAATTTGCATGAGAGCTAAGAAAAATGTTGCAAGATCTTTGAATATTATTATGCAATTTATTAGATTCCAAAACTATCTTTTATTGATTTTTAAAGTTTAAAAATAGATAAAATAATATAAAGTAATAGTGAGCCCCAAATATATTTTTTTAGATATGTGTTGCATTGGTGCCCATCTTATCCATTATGCCAATCATGATTCCCATTATTTTCTGCAATGAATCATGAAATTAAGAAGTCATTATAACCTAACTTACCAATGCTTAAATACCAAAATACCCTTGGGTTTTGGGTTTGAGTATGATTGGGCTGGGCCTGTTACTCTCTCTTCATTGGGTCATTCAATCAATGGATCCAACCAATGCTTAAATACCAAAATACCCTTGACTTTCCAAGAAGGACACCAATTTCCCGCTCCGCCTTTGGTCTTTTCACTTTGGCATTCCTGGACTGAGTGAAAGACAAACACCGTGGAGCGAAATACAATCGATCGAGAGGCAGAGAGAGAGAGAGAGAGAGAGACCGCACCCAAAGACTCTCGTTTTGCTCTGATTGCTCTGACTGCCGGCGAAGGTCCAATGGCGGCAGATCTGGTGCTCGACACAGCCATCAGAGACTGGGTTCTGATCCCTCTCTCGGTGGTCATGGTTCTCATCGGCGTCCTCCGATACTTCGTCTCCAAGCTCATGCGCTCCAACCAAGTCCCCGATGCCAAAATCGTCAAGGAAGGGTATTACACTTGCTTACTATACTACATCTATACTACATGGATCTGTATGTGTGTAAGTGTATATATATGTGTATGTATTTGGGATATATCAATATGTCTGACTTTACGAAATTGCTTTTGGTTGCGAATTCAGGCAATTGATTATTAGGGCTCGGAATTTACGTGCTGCTGCTAATTTCATACCTCCAAAGTCGTTTCGTGCTCGCCGATTGTATTACAACAACGAGGTTTGCTAATAATTCTTCTTGTTTGCTAATTAGGCATTTTTAAAAAAAAAAAATTAAGAGCACTCAAATTGACATGCTTTTGTTCATCAAGAAGTCGTAAGCTGAAAAGGAATTTTATTTGTTGATGAGTTAGAGTTTAGCATTGGGCTTATGTAATCTGGATTGGAAATTGGAAGTTGACGGACAACGAGAATTCTTCGTCTCATTTTGTTGTCGAAAACTTACAGCATAGTTTATTGTAATGAGCAGATGAATATGAGAATTTTCATGGGATTTTCACATGGAAAGAAACCCATGAGTATGTCAATTAGAGCATTACACTTTAGAGGAAAACACTTCAAACCCAATACTTCAAAACTAAGCTAGCTGAATTTGTAATGGGAGAAGGGTAGCTTTCCGAAATCTCACAACTACGAATCAATTAGAGCTGGACATGTGGATAGATGAGTTTTTTTTTCCTTTCTCCAATTGAGCTCTTGAAGTGTTTTTGTATTAAATTTCAATGCTACCTAATTTACTAAAATTCCATTGCCTTCTGTGTGATTTGGTGTCAAAACTTCAATTTATATTAACTTTTCAAGGGTTCATTTACAGAAGATTCGCTGAAACTAGCTTGTAGTATGCTATTTCTTGTTGTCATTCTGTTGATACTTGTGTCAAACATGTTTCACCTGGCAGGAAAATGGGCTGTTAATTGTTCCTAAGGGTCAGGCACAGAATCCACAAGCGCAAATGTTCTCTGATCCCAACATGGCCATGGATATGATGAAGAAAAATCTGTCCATGATAATACCCCAGGTATTTCAAATTGCTTGAGATTGTACTGTAATTTGACTTCTTTTTGTCAGATATGGGAAGTATTTTTTTATGACTACCTTTCTGTGGGCCAGACTCTTACTTTTGCATGGGTCAATTTTTTCTTCTCTGGATTTGTTGCAGGTATGTTACAATTCCTCTGAAACCGATTTTTCGGTTATATGCTTGCATAAATTTATCATCGATCTTTTTCCTTTCCTTTATGCTCAGCCTGTATAATAGCTTGTCATTGAATATATAATAATCACTTTCAGCAATATATAACTTCATATCATAGGCTCAAGATATCATGTTATGATCAATGTTTCCTTGTCTTCTCCGCAGCCAAAATTCCCTTTCCTCTTACTCAAAGGTTCAGGTCTATGCTGCAGAATGGGATTGACTTGAGCACTGTTGATGTTAGCTACGTCAGTAGCCGCTCATGGTACTTGTTTATATTTTGATATATCTAGTTATGTAAAGTTCATTTTCCTCCCCTTGGTTTTTTTTTTTTTTTAACTGATTGTCTCTGATTATTCAAAATCATTCTCTCAGGTACTTTCTTAATCTGTTTGGATTAAGAGGTTTGTTCAGTCTCATTCTGGGAGAAGAAAATGGTCAGTTCCTCCTTGTATGATTATTACATCATGATATTTTTCATCCTCCGAGATGGATGTTTTTTCTCTTTTCACACATGCGGCACCGCAGCTATGAGATAGAGTTTGTATGGTCTAGGAGGTTGATAAACTATTAACTTTTGCTATGCAGCCATGGATGATACTCAAAAAATGATGCAAATGAGTGGCTTTGGCTTTGATCCATCAAAGGTATCAACTTAAGTAGTTTTTTGTACTCCTTAAGGTTTCAGAGTCGTTAATATTTGAAGATTTCAGATTCTATTATTTTTTTTCTTTAATATTTGTTTGACAAATCTATTTATGCACTGTTGGCCTGCTCATTTGATGATTGAAAAACGCTAGTATCCAACTAAGTTTCTTGAAAGTATCCGTCTTAGACCTTAGAGTCCATGCATTGCCATTGCTCTTTAAGTATCCGTCTTAGACCTTAGAGTCCATGCATTGCCATTTTTCCTTGTGGGACAAATATGTTGGGGCTTATATGCTCGTCCAGTCGACTTACTCACTTGACAATGGATGCCCTCTCCTTATTAAACTTTTCATAGAATGTGAAGCACCCATCAATTTGAATGGTCAAATTTGTAACAGAATGACTTATCTTTTATCTGTAGCTTTAATAGACTTGTGCTTTTGTAGTTTGATATACCTGTTTGTGAAGTTCTAACAATTGCTATTCTGGATATTCGTGTGCATCGTGTTCACATTTAAATATTTTGGATGAAAACATTTGGAAAGATGATTAATTAAATGCAAATCTGAATTAAAAGTATTGGAGCATTACCATATTATTTGTTAAATATATGGCTTTAACGTTTCTAGAAAGAAATTTGAAGGCTTTTGCTGTTCTTTTTGAATTGATCAGAGTTTGGGAGCTGAGAAGGACAGCCTCGATATAGTCCAGCATGACTGGGCCTTACCAAAATTTGAGCATCGCGCTGAAGCCGTATTGAGAAAACTTGCCAGATGAAGGCTGAGATTATGCAGTTGGCTGCTCGACTGAAGCATCGTTTCTGCTCAGTGCTCCACTCCTGGGTTTCGTCCACCCAGCAGTAAAGTCAGTTAGACCTATGAAAAAATCTAGGTAGTTTATAGCAGCTTAAGCTTAAATTTGTTCTGATCATTAAACAAGACACTCTTTTTCGCTGAACAAACACATTGCTGCTTGTAACTTGTAATTCGTTTTCTTTTTGTTCGAAAAGTAACTCTTGAAATGATTTTTTTTTTCTTTCAAATTTGCCGGAAAAAGAGAGTGCAAATAAGTGGGTGAAGGACAGAAGTGTTGGCCGTAATTTAATTAACATGATTAGCTTTGAATATGGTCTGCAACTTTATAGATGCAGTAGAAGAAATAACTAAGAATCTGTTGAAGCTGCAGCCTTCCCCCTCCTTCATTAGTGCCCGAAACTTCGGAAGATTTTGATTGACAAATAAATCTTGGTCGTTCGAAGAAGGCCCGCCATTTTCTGTGGTACACCAGCTGAGTCGACAAAGAGAAAATATGCAAGAAAAAGAGAGGGGCAGAGTGCCTACCGAAAGAGTGGAAAGAATTAAAGGGGAGAAAGAGATGTTTGCGTTGCCCAACTGTTGCAATTCCAATGCAAGGGATAGAAGTGAACACATGTATATGGGGCAACGATTACCAAAAGCTAATATATAGTTTCTGATTAAGCTTTGGATAGTTTGACAAATTAAAACTTTGTAGTTACGTTAAAACTCACCTTCCTTTCGTAGAGGACAATCTTATATGTAATCAACTAGTATCTCTACATCGTTCTTCACAAGTTTTATAGTGATGGTTCTTTTTTTTTTCTTTATAAACCAACCAGAATGATCCGGAATAATTTGGTGGATGTTTCCTTCCAATTTTACAATTTAAGCAAAATACATCGGATTTCAATTTTTACAATGATCAGAATATATCAAGTTCACACTTAAAGTTTGCATTTTCACGTAAAAAAATTATCTTTCAAGAGATATAAATAGAGTAAGGATGAAACGCAAGCATGCGAGAAACCTCGAGTGCATATTGCCATTTTCACCCCACAATTGATTGGGGTTAGCTTATAGAAACGAAAGATTAGTCTTTCTCGTAAAATCTTGCGTTATGATCTACTAGCTAATAAAGAAAGAAATTTGGACAGGCGTATGGGCAATGGGGGATGATCATTTCCTTACCACTTTTCCACTTCCAGAGTGGCAAAACTCAAGCTTACGTGTACACACCTACACTCAAAACGGAGTCACGGAATTGGTGACTGGACGTTGACTCGTGGGTCCCACTTATTATGGAAGCTTTTGACATCTTGAATGATTCAATCAATTCAGAACATGATGTGTAACAGTGCAACCACACATAACTTGTTAAACCCGCTTAATTTGTCACAGGATAAAACTTTAGTAGCGTTGTTTGATCAGTCGTTCCATTAAAACGGAACAACTAGAAAATAAGTGAAGTTAGAAAAGCGTTAACTATCTTGTACGGTTTGGGAGTAATTGGCATACCCCGATTAGTGAGGGAGAATTTTTAGCTCTATCGAACATACAGGAAATTAAAGTGGCATTATACCGATGTTAAGTCACGAACTAGTTCCTTCCCCTTTTTTTCTATATGTTGACGTTGATGTGACCATAAATAAAACAGGACTCCTTCTCTTGTGAGAGAGTTTGATCATTTAGCTGATCAGGCTCTTGTACAATGTTTTTTTAATGCTTTAGAGGAGAAGAACTTCTTAGCATAGACATATCTACAAGTCATATATTTATGAGTAATGCTACATTCATCATATTTTTCATATTATATTTATACCACATCTCTAATAGAGGTAAGGTTCTCCAATGCAAATAGGTATCACTTTTAATAAAAATATAATACAAATGTGATACGAAAAATATGGTACGAGTAATTTATTTATTTATATTTATTGGTTGGATCATTTGTAATACTAATTCGCACGGGGTCCACTTGGTGGGACACCACCCACCGCCCCGACTTTTAGCTTTTCCTCAACTAATTCACTTTGCAGTACAGATTTGTAATAGATAAATTTGGAAAAGATGATGTTCCCTTTCGAAATCCGAACAAATATTGGACAATTTTACCTTACATACTTAATAGAAATTAATAAAGAGACAACAAAGTTAAAGACTGAATGTTGCTAAATTAATTCAACCCACATCAGACTATCAACGTTGCAATACACATATTAAAAATTAATAACAAAATAAAAAGATCAAATATTAAATGCCGCTAAATCAAATCACATCAACGAAGTATCAATTTGACGAGTGAGATTGCACACAAGTCGAGTGCAATGCATCGTTGGTTTTTGTTACTTTGCGTCCAAAATCAAGAGTTAATCTGGAGAATCAAGCGTGTACGTATTACTATTATTTGTTGTTATAGAGATCCACAATAACATAGTAAATTTAATTTTTGGATCAAAATTCAATGACGAATGTGTCCTTTTCTTTGCGTATACTATGCATGGCACATGCATGATGAATCCAAGAGCGCAGAATAGTACGTGTGCAGTGGAGGGTATAATCAGAGCGACCACTGTATCCAGCAGGGCACATAGAGATTTTTCAGTGTGATCGATCCACGGGATAATATATCATGTGTTATTATATGAATGATGGGATATGTGTGCTAAAACACATGATGTAACACTTGTATTCCCGTCATAACTAAAATTTTTTCCTATAAGACGAGAAATTTTTAGTTGTGACATGAACCCTAATGGTACACCACACGTTTTTATGTAAATGGTGGAAATTTCTAATTTGTAAGTTATAAACCTTTTAACACACATATCACATCATTTATATAAGAACACGTGATGTACCATCTCGTGTAACGATCATATTGAAAAATCTCTCCCGTCGGACGGCTGCAAGTGGGGTCCCCAGTCACGAGCATTCGACCTGGAAAGCATCAAGACCATGGCCCGCGGGGGCCCACGCAGTCCCTCATCTTTAGAAAGGGCGGTTGCATTGCCTAAGCCAAGAGGAATGGGCTAAAAAGTAAAGGAAAAGCAAGCCACGGCAGCGCTTGATTTGTTTACGTGCTGGTCCCACAATGGCATGATCGTAAAAGGGGGTGATGTCGGGTCCCCACCCCCTCAGGCACCGGCCTTTTGATAGGTTGTTTTCTTTTGTTTGGCTCACGTCCATTGATGGACATGACCGTAGGACGAGAATTCTCTCCCAATTCTCTTAGCGCAGACTCGAGTATTAATTAATTATATTCATTTATTGTACATTATGCTGTCAAATTTTATTAAGAATCATTTAATATTTATATTTAATTTTAAATAAATAATTTTTAATCGCACGATATACGATGAATGATATAATTGATTAATCGTTCGAAATCCTACAAAAAAAAAAGATCTGAAACAGATCCTATTCCATGACGACATCAATCGAGTTGTTTTCTTTTGGTTTCAATTCAATCGACGGTGTTTAAGATGATGAGTTGAAACCTTAAAAATGGTAAACAATTTGACTAAAAATAGTAAAAGTTGCCTCCACCTTTTTAACTATTAAACAACAATGCCATCAAGTTTGTACCCTCTCTTTTTAATTGTCTACGAATCTTTTGATTTTGATTTTGATTTTTAAATAAATGGAATTATAGCTAGTGACATGCTTATTTTATTTCATGTTCAATGGCCCCATGTCATACTTATTCTGAATTTTGTTTTTGCTACACAAAATGCGATTGAACCGAGTAAGGGACGAATTCATTAACTTGATCAAAATAATTCATGTAGTAGACAATTATGACATATTCATTAGAAAATCGAAATTAAACCTCTCTTTAAAAACGTAGACACTATTTAAGTAACTTGTGGAGGTTTTTCATTTAGTATTTTGGGAACCAATCTAAAAATTCTTTTTTATAGATGTTGAAGAGCTTAAATAATGACTGATCTAACTCACGTAAGGATGGACAACGGTTATGGCGGACGGATAACCGCGGTTATTTACCCATAACCGTTTATGCTCATATCCCCATAACCGTTTACCCGTTGGGTAATTGCCTAAACGGTTATACACATACCCATAACCGTTTATAAATGGTTAACCATACCCATAATCGCATACCCATTTAACCGTAACCGTTTAATACCCGTTTACCCATTTACCCTTTTTAACCCATTTATCTTTTTTTTTACTATTACCTTTTTTTCATCCGTCTACATGTTTTTTAACAACTTGAAAATTAAAAAAAATTGTCATAATTTTCTTTTTTTTTGACAATTAAACACCGTTATAGTACTTCATCATACATTTCCGTATTTTAATTTTTTAAGTTCATATATCATTCCAATAATTGAAATAATAGTTTACGGATAATATTTTTAACTGTTACCAATGAAGGTAAATATAATATTTGCTAAGTATTATTGGGCTACAAAAATTGTTTAGAAGACATTTCTATCAAAGCATTTTTGTCAATTTCACGGTTACCGCAAGGAATTTAAATTAATTTGGCGAATTCCTTGATGATGAGAATCATCATTCCTGTAGCAGTGTTATTGAGAGAATGACCGATGAATTCCTTGCTAATTTATTGGGTGCTAAGTATTATTGGATCGAGAACATAGTTTGTGTTAGTTTTTCATATATAAAATAAATGGGTAAACGGTTACCCGTTTATAACTGCGGTTAATACCCATAACCGACCATTTAAATTTCGCGGGTAAACGGTTATACCCATAACCGTTTATTTATCTAAACGGTTACCCATAACTGTAACCGTTTAATTTAAATGGGCGGGTAACCGCGGTTACCCATAATCAATAGGTATTTGCCCATCCCTAAACTCACGTTTGTCATGTTTATCTTGTATTGTATTGACTAAACGGAGTTATCAAACATTTTACTATTTTGCATCCAAAAAAGGAAATAATTTTTTTTATCTAAACTTGGCTAAATTTAGTGATAGGTTAGGCCTACTAACACAAAAAATTAATGGGAAAAGAAACGAAGGCACAACACAAGAACATGAGTGCATGATGGTCAGCCACATACACACCCTACTGCACAAAACACAGAAAAAACCACTCAAAAGAAAGATATGATGCTGATATGAGACATGGCCTCCACCATTTCCCATTCCAATTCATTGTCTACAAAGCTAATATTTTATTTTCATTGCAATTTTCTTCCGGTGGGATTCTTCATGAATTATCTATTATTTCATATTTTAACGTTAATTTTGGTGTCAACATTATAAAATATTGTGCAAAAAACATGAACTTGCGTATAGTCCATGAATAGTCTTACTTTTAAAAAAGTCTCCTTAATATTTATTGGAAAAGTATTATATAAATATATAAAAATCAAACAAAAAGCATTTACAACTAGACAAGTTAATGTCCTTTTAATTTGGGTCAGTGACATGAGGTGTCAAATTGGAAAAAAGATTCTTCAAGTGCTTAAACTCGCTCTTTCTCCTATTCAGTTTTTTATTAGGTTGAGGCACTCTCGCATCTATATAAAGCTCTCACATTTGATCATTTCTTTCACTCACTAGCAATTAAGCACCCTTCATTCCTCCCATCTTTCCAAGGTTTTTTTGTTCAGTTTTCATTTGCTATAGCAATGGCCACTGTTGAGGTAATGCCACGATAGGCATTCTCACCCGACTACTCTCGTGTTGGCTTGGGATCACTCTTTTATATATATCTACCAGTTCATGCAATTAGTTTTCTTATATTTATCATTTGCTCTAAGAAATACCTTCACTTATTTGCATACAAGTACAATCTTGAAAGTTAATCGATCCGTTTGAGAACTTAAGATTATATGATTAGCGGTATAATGTATTTCAGAAGTTCTTTTTGCAGAACCTCCGTTCTTTGGACGAACTATTACGTATATTAGATCGTCTTAAAACTTTGTTAGCTTATTAGTTTTGCAACTGAAATATGACTGATTTTCAACAACATTTTGTGCTAAAGGTTGCACCAGCAGCAGCGTTGGAAGAGAATGAGCCAAAGACAATCGAGGTGACCAAGACTGAAGAGGCAACCGTGGAAGAGCCTGTAGCTGCAGCACCAGCTGCCACTGAGCCTGAGGCTCCGACCACCGAAGAGCCAAAGGAAACAACACCACCAGTAGAAGTAGAAGTAGAGAAACCAGCTGCTCCTGAAGCCGATGCTCCAGTTCCGGCTGAAGTTGAGACCAAGGAGGAGGTGGCAGAGGAAGCGAAGGTGGCCGAGGCGGAGAAGCCAACAGTAGAAACGGAGAAAACAGAAGTAGAGGAGCCTAAGGAGGTGATAACAGCAGAGCGTGTTGCCGTGGCAGAGGAGGCCAAAGAACAGACCATTGAAACTGAGGCACCAGCAGCTACTCCAGTCGAGGAAGAGAAAGCAGTTGAAGCAGCAGCAGAGGAAGCAACCACAGAAGTTCCAGTCGAGCAGATTGAAGAGTAGAAGATGAACTTATGACAAGATGAGAGAAGTTTAAATTAATGGGGTATTCAGCTACATTTATGTTTGTTATTTCAGTTTACATTATAATTGAGGTAAGGCTTTAAAATTAAATTAATGCGATTTGGCATTTGGATTATTATGATCTCCACTTAATGTGAGCATCTTGCCATATGATTATGAAAAAAATGAAGTATGTAATGCATTTGGTGATTAATATGGTGTGAAAATATATGATCTGTCTAAGTTTTGAATAATATTTTTGCTTTTGATGATATTCATCCAATGTTGTAACAATTTGACGGATCTGTGGACTTGAACTGATGTTGAGATCGATGACATATCATCACATTAAAATGCATGATGTTACTTTTTACTTTTGCTAGTTCCTTTTACGTCGTTCTGATGTGCCAGTCGGCCATAGGAAGCAGGTTTGAGATATAAGAGTTGAACAAACGTACAGTTTGATTGAGTTTTATGTGCACCTAATTTCGCTGTTTAAGAAGAACATAATGCACTTTTTCAGTGCTAATTTGCTTCCAAAAGCTTTGGCCGTCGAACCATTGTTTTGGATGACTCGTGGCGTTTCGATGTACCCTTCCTTGGACATGATCTTTAAACTAACCTCGCTGGTTTAAGTGATTTTCATCTGGAGAATATTGCTCTCGGATATATTTATGCCTTGGCAATTACTTATAAACACATGTAAGTTCCATCGTCTTATTAATGTGGGATTCAATATCAATACGCCCCATTCATTTTTTTTAGAATTCTTTCTCCCACACACCCTTGCCCTCTTTCTAAGAGAATAGAGCACGCTCGACATCACAAAACCACCCAACCACTCTGATTTTGGAGTACACAGTTCATGATCTTGCCGATGGGGTTAAGGTCTCTGAAACCTAGCCACAACTCCAACAAGAGTAAGCTTTGAAGAATGAAAAGACGTGTGTGTGTATAAAGTATAATTACTTATTTATTATGGACGGTTAGAATCCGGTAATAATAGCTTCTTTCGGGTAGAAGTGCTAATTCAGTCATTGGGCCCTGTAGGATCTCTTGACTCTATTGAGTCCGTGTTACCCCCTTCTCCAAAAAAGTTGGTCAACAAGCCTCGCGAGTTGTCCCAGAATGAAGGCAATGACATGTTTTGACAAGTGATGACTTGTCTTGACACGTTGAACCTTCCATCGTGGCACGCCATAACAAACCTCGCGAATTGTTGATAGAATGCATGCGTGTCGTGATATGCATTCTACCGACAATTCGCGATGCTTGTCATTTTAGGGCCAACAACGATGGCGTGCTACGATGCGAGGGTTAGCATGTTATGCTATGTTCTGATACTATGAAGAAGGTTGAGGTTTCACCACATTTTTCATATCAGATTTGTACCACCTCTCTAGTAAAGGTAATATTCACCAACATATGTAGTTCTCATGTCTATTAAAAAGATGATACAAATGCATATAAAAAATGTTATAAGAGTAGCATTTTCATAAGGAAAATGATACAATCCCTTTCAAAACACTACAATTAGTAGTCTCTGAAGTATCTCGGACATGATCCTCAGAAAACATAGCATGATACCATCTGCCTGCCACATGGACGGGCGAGATGGGAAAACATTTTGTATAGACTTTTGCATAATATGTCATTGCATGATCCGTTTGTACTCAACAAATTAACATGTCATGAAAAGCAACGTCCGTTAAATCTCTTGCCTCCAAATTTATTTATCCTATTAACGACGCTATACAAACAGTTGCCAAAATAGCAATGACACTGCAAAGTGCAAACCTTTAACAAAGAAAAACACTAACATCGGTACCTTCTTCTATCATTAGTCAAGCGACCAGAGACGACGACGACGACGACGACGACAACAACAACAGTATCCTATAAACTGTACAATCTTAGTTCCGAATCTCTTTTATGTGCAGTCAAGCCCCCCCTTTTGACCCCCAAAATGTAGATGCACCTATTATATTTTACTACCATGTCCCGAAGCTACTGCCGACATGTTCCTGGGTGATGATATTAAGGCGGCCTTTCATCACTGCCTTCGATGGATATGGAGGGAAACACAATCTGTAAAAGCATGTATGAGACGAAGGCAGGCGACTGTAAGCCTCTGAGGACTTGTAAATGTAAAGCCGAGAAGCCAAACCTCGGAACCCCTCGACTGGAAGATACTTCACCGAGGTCCAAAAGAAGAGAAGAACCTTTTTCTGCTCTGCAGACATCTCCCCAACAATCTGCACAAATTTTCAAGAAGGAAACAAATTTAGCCTCATTGTACTACTACGCTCATAGCCTACCAATACAAAGCAACTTTTAGCTGCTTTCCCTATCTCGCAATCATGTTTATATCAAGAGCATAATGAAAAAATATGATCAGAACTTGCAAAAGGATGCTGAACCCCGATTAGGTTGTCCTCTCTCATAAACTCTGAAGCTTCCCACAAAGTTCTATAGAGTCTGACCATATACCACTTGATTGCTTGCTACTTGGCAAATCTAATCAAAGCCATACAGCTTTATGTGAGCATATAACACTGCCCGTTCTATATAACGCTTTACTCTGTTCAACCTTATCAAATTTGAAACAAGCGAAGTTTCAGTTTCTGATGCTATTAACTTCCAAAGAAAAACAGTGCTAAATAACTAATGGGGCTTTTAGATCCTGGTCCAAAGGATAGGTTGATATAAAAAGTAAAAATATGTAATACAATTAATCTGTGTAGGTAGACTATGAACAAAAACCTATGGTATAGGTAGATAAACAATTAAACATATAAGCAAGATATGAAACCTAACTAAAAGATACAAAAACATAATATATCTGCAAGCAAGACACATTAATCAGTGGTACAGGTTGATTATAAAAAAGTCTTTCATATTGATAGATAAATACAATTAACCTGTGATATAGGTTTATTATAAAAATTAAAAATAAACTCTATAAATGGGGTTTAGAGCAGAAAGAAGAAGAACCAGAAACAACAAAAAAGAAATTAATTTTTATAGTAAATCCTATCAATAAATAAATAATCCTAAACTTAAGGGACTGGATTTATTTTAATAAACTGGATTATTCCTAATATTGGTTCAGAAAAATTGGACTTATATAAACTTCCCAATAGTGAGCCCAATTGAAACACTGATTTTTTTGTCACTTCATTGTTTCAAAACAATCACAATGTATGCTTTCATTAATTTGAAAATCATTGCAAAAGCTTCCATGGTCGATCTCAATCATTAACGATTAAAGCCAAACTAGTTCGCCAAGACTTTTCTATGAATAAAGCTGATTGTCAATTGATATGCTATATGGAAAAATACCAGACACAGCTAAGAAGAGTAGACATGTAACAAAATAGTAATTAGATATTTAACCAAAAGAAACAAGATGCAAGTCCAATTTCTACTTTCAATAATTATTGGTTGATTTAACTAAACAGTTTTAATACGAAGGGGATTAACTGGGTAAGTCCTAGTTGGATTGGGATATCTTAATGAACAAGGATTAGGGGTTGCTATTCTAGGCTATCACTAGTTTTATACCAATTATAATTCCAGAATTCCGATTTAAGAGTTTCTCTTGGGTTTCATGCCCTACAACTCAGTTATCTTTGTTCCATCTTTGATTTTATTGCTTTTATCTCTCTATTTTTTCTGTTGTTTATCAGTTGAAATCTGCTTCTACTGCGATTTGGCTCTATTTTACCCACTGGACAGCAGCTTATCGCTGCTGCCCTGCATCACAAGAAAGAAGCAAAATATAAAGCAAGAATAGCAAAGTAAGAGCTAATAAAACCAGAATCGAGCAAGTTTACCTTCCAGAACCAAAGTATATGAGGATCAGTCTCTTTATAGCCATTGTAATCAGTATGTGCCTTCCAATCTTCAACGCTAATAGCACTTTCACTTCCGTGAAGCATCCAATCAAGATCTTCTAGCTCTAAACTTCGGAAAAACACACTCTGGAGCCTTGATCCACAGAGTATATCAGAAAATCCATGCGCAAATTGGGACACCTGTTCAGATATTGATGTGACAAAACGATGCTGAATTAGCAGATTAACATATTCCCCCCTGTTCTTGCTGTTCACAACAATGCTTTTCCCACCAGGGCAAAGCTCCACAGTTTTCCTGAATCCTAACTCCTCCACTTCCCTAACAAATGTCAACCCTAAAGCATCTGAATCAATAAAATGGGCATCCATTTCTAATATCTGCTTGCAACTATTATACAAGAATGGATCTGCATCTCTTATATCTTCCAAAGATAAATATATATCTCCAGCCAGTTGCTGGAAAAACACACGATCAAAGACTATGCCCACGTGCACTTTATGCATCAAAGCCAATGCAATCACTCGGCCAGCAAAGGTGAAATACTCCAGGTGCAGAGGATCAACCTTAGATGCTGTAAAAATAAAAGGCGTGTGACTTATTAATAATTTGTAGGAACTTTCAAGCATAACTCAAAAAGTTGACGCACGAAAAATGCCACAAGATAGGATACAAATCTTTCAGAACTGAGTAATGCTAGTGGCAACATTCATGCAATTGGATTAGCGTTTAACAATTTTACCAGTATTATGGCCACCTTCTTTCTGCCTACTAACACTAATACGCTGACAATCTGTATTTTTTGTTTGTCATTCCGTAATATAAACATTTTTAAAACCTAGGCACAATATGCTAAAGAATTTGACCTTACCCTGGTGTCCAATGTTTCTACACATGCCCGCATCACTTACGAGAGATCTAACAAAGTGAAGCATGCACATGTGATCACACACTAGACAATAAAAGAGTAAAGCATCATAATTATGTACTAAACTATTCTATAATACTTTTGGTGCTTGAGCATATATACCGAGTTTCAAACACTATCATGTTTGTCTGCAACTTAAAGTTCAAATCTTGGATCAATACCCAATCATATTTCAATACCTATCTTTATATGAATGCTATATATGATTTAGTCAATCAATTATCATCACAGGCTGGAGTTAATGTATCAAGACAAGCAAAATGAGAAACAGAATGTAAAGTTGTTCAAGAACACCATGCACTAAAGGCTGAAGGAAGCACACCTGGATTAGGATAGAACCTTCTACGGTCGTTAGGGCATGCCACAAAAAGTGCATTTTGGGGATTAAATATGGCCTGGCATACCAAAAAGAACCACTCCCGCAGTACACCTGGACCTGTAGCTTCCTCATTTTTGAATTCCATAAATAAACCGCCATGAAGTGACTCAGGTTCCGCATGCCCTATGTACTCAAAGGATTCTGCCAATATTTGAGACCTATCAATGAGCATCTCATGCAGCTCCTCATAGTCTTCTTTAACATCAGGGAACATCATCATAGCCAAGTGCCTCCGAGACTCAAAATCTAGCACATCTTTGTGCTTAATAAGCCACTGATGATCGTCACTTCGCATTGCATACTTGACAATTAGAGCACATAATGGAGCCCTTCTAAGCCTCAAAATAGTCTTAAATTGTTCTTCCCAGCTCTGGTAAAGCATAGAAATTCCACTCAATTCCTTTAAAACAGCAAGATACTGAGACCATCCAGAATGAGCAAAATCACCCTCCACCTTTCCCATTTTTCCAAGGCATTCATCCATTTTATTTAGCAAATCAGCATATATATCGTGAAGAAGCTTAATCTCCTCTCCATACAGGGGATGCCTAAAAGTCCTCCCTTTCAAGGTTGCAGAAATAGAACCCTTGAAACACACTTGATCGGCAACTGCAGTGCGCAAAGGGAGCAAGAACGCTCTAAAATCACGTACATCATCCGACAACGGCCTGCCACTCGCAGGAAGGTCCATACTGACTACCAAATCCCTAGACAAAATACTTGACAGCTCCCTAACAAATGGAGAAATATCTTTCAACCCACCAATCAGTCCCTCCACAGGTTCTGAGTCCTGAGAATTTCCATCACTTTCCAACAAGGAACCGAGTGAACCTCGGCATAGGACGTACAGAGGGTCCTCCTCCCCTAATCTCCTAAGAAACTTACAAAACTCTAACACTATCGGCGCGCAGTAATTATGCAAGTGTTTCGGCAACAATGTAGGGTACGAATTCAGGAAATACTTGATTGAATTTTCAGCAACTGTTCTGTTAGCTGGCAGGGGAGAAACATAGAGCATCAGCAGCGCCAAGGGGGCCGAGGACGGAACAAACACCCGGATATGGCTAACCCCATATCCGGCTGTTGTCTCCTTCTGAGCCATGGTCAAGTACTGGCTCATCCTGCTCTTGATGTATTTCGAAGGCTCGTGAATCTCTTCGCCTTGGCACATTCGAAATGCGGCGGAGACTATGTCCTCCAGGAGTTGCCAGGCCTGAGGGTGATCGGTGCTCCGCAAGCGGCCGACCAGTTGCAAACTGGCGTCGTTTTGTATGGCGCACTCGGCCAGCGACTGCTCTGGCTGCAGCTGTTTGCCCCCGTATATAAGCCTCAGTTCGAAAACCGGAATGCCGGTGATCGTTTGTATGCGATCGAGTAGCGATTTCACCTTGTCCTGAGCATAGGCCTGGATTACCAAATTATTGCCCCCTGACATGGTTCTGATGAAGAATTGGAGCATTGTCCGGGACCGAGTCGACTCGGAGTGAGCAGACTCGCCGTGAGAGGTCGGTCGGGCGTTGGAAACCCGGGAATTGAGGGCGTCACTATTGGCGGAGGAGTGAGGGTGGGTGGGGGCGCCGTTGGACGACGAATCGGCAGCGTTGGGCTCGTCCTTCCTCATCCTGACGTGGACTAGGTCAGAGATAACGGCGTCGTCCTCGTCGTCGGAGAAGGTGGGCCCGCCATAGTCGTCGAGTTTGCGCTTGGAGGACAATCGGTGCTGGAACTGATCCACCGCGGCGGCGACGGCAGCAAGGGCAGTGCTGTCGCTGCGCTGGTAGGCAGCGCAATCGACGGTGCTGCTGGTGGTGGGGCTCCCGGTGATGGACATTTACAGGGTGGGGCCCACCCGCCAGCCGGTTCCTTCCTTTTACCTCTCGAGAGAAGAAAATTCACGCGTACGGTGGGCGTGGGTGCATGGAAATCGCAGCCGGTCCTCCGCGAAAAACAAAAATCTGGAAATTAAAATAAATAAAATTAAAAGGGAGAATAAAAATACCAGGGAGGGTGGGAACTGGGGGAAGACGATGATCGGGGGAAGGGGTCGTTTGTCTCTCTCTTTGTCTCACGCCTGGGCTTCACAGCCGTCATCTACAATCACTGTAATCGGTAATCCTACGCTATTATATATTTTCCATTTATTTATTTATTTATTTATTTATTTGATGTTGTGTTTGGATTGCAGTATATTACAAAAAAGCCCTCTGTCCCTCCACTCTCTGCACTGGCGTTTCTGATACTTAACGGCTCTGATCGGATCCCACTATTTTTTCTTTCTTTTTTTTCTTTTTTGTTTTGTCAAATATCCCACTAATTTTATATTTGGTTAGTTTTGTTGTAAACATGGCTAGTTTAAGTGTGATTGTGTAAATTCTAAATTATATTTGATTCTAGTTATCATTTCCTATTGTATCTTGTATTCCTTGGGATGAAGGAATATGTTCTCTTCTTATATTACTATAATAAAGGCACAATGTATGAGGGATCACAACACACATTCCCTTACAATTCTACAAACACATATCTCTCTCTTCTTCTCCTTGCCGCTGGCCACACTAAACTTGTCAGATAAAATAGACCACAATACGTTATTAGCACGCTCCTACCGCTGCGCTTAGGAATCTGACGTTAGAGATTTTTCTGCATCAAACCAGTTCATCCATATTATCACGCAATCATGTTCTTTCAAAACAATGGTTTTTAACTCGATATTTTTGCAACCCTGATAGCATGAACATTCACCATGATGCATGACCCAACTTTACATTTTACGAATTTTAGATTCTACATAAATTGTGTATGTCTCATAATCATAATTGTTGAATAATGTGCATTTGATATTGGTTATGAATTGTGTTGGTACCACACATAATGGGCATCAGACTTTGATACATTGGGCCTCATTACCCAGCCTATATGATTATGTAAAAGGAGGAGCCCCTTATGAAGGATTTATTTTGAAAAACATGTTCATTTGAGCAACATCATATGGCATGCAATTAACAATTAAAGGCGGAATCATGCTTGCATGTACTCAAAAACAAAACATTACCATGAAATTCAAAGCCTAGTAGATTGGTGAACCAATAATCAACTCAAAACAAAGTGAGTTGAAATTATTACCTTTGTAGATTCCTCTTTGCATAAGCAAAGGCTAATCACCCAAAGAGATAGGGCCTTCATTCCTTGCTTCTTAGATCCATGGATTTGGATGGAAAAATAGGTTTCTCCAAGTTCCCAAAATAGGGAACCTCTAAGTCTCTTCACCAAGGTTTGATTGTAGAAGAAATGAGTGACCTTGGAGTAGTAGGATTGCTAGATGTACCCTCCAAGGTGTTGGCCTCTTTAGAGAGAAAATGGAGAGACAATTCTCACCAATTTTCCCCCAAAATAAACCCTTAATCACTTAATGAATATTTGGCTATAAAATCATTTATATAGTCACTTCTTTAAGTGACCTAAACAACCAAAACCCTAATTCATTCACATATGGCCGGCCATTTAGGGGATTTTGGGCTTTTGGGCTTTAATGAATCTTCATTCATTAAATTGTCATACAACTTAAGTTAATGGGCTTGACGTTCGAAGCCCATTGGGCCTTAAGGTCCAAAACTATCCCGAAGTCTTTAACGAACTTATTCGTTTGATTAATTAACATATTAATTAATCCTTGCCATAAATAAATGATTAAACCATTTAATCATTCTTACTCATTTCCGTTTAATCTCCAATCTCTACCTTTTACGGTGTGCGATCCATTAGGTTCCTTTTAGCGAGGTAGTGGGCGATTAAAACCATTTTACATCGATTGTGAATTGAAACTATTTTCAATTCTCCCTTTAGTGATTACACACGTTTAGGGCTTCCACAAACCATGAGTGACACCTAGCAGCATATCATGGTTACCCAAGCTAATCAGAAGAGGTGGAGAACCTATTCAGTTCGGGATTACAAATGCAATACGGTCCTTCTCTAATCTAATACTCTTGACCACATTGTTTGGTATGATAGTTTATTTACTCATGTCTACTATCCAATGTAAATCGTTTGCTTATATGATTTCCTTGAATGTGATTTGGAACGCATTCCCTAATCTCATTCATACTCTGGCCAGAGATTCCAAATCATATCATAGAGTATTCTCCCTCAACTGTTTGAAGGTTAGAGATCCCTTGTTGCGCATTCACTTGTCTCCATAGCTAAGTGGCTTAACCCCAACGATGCCGTGGACACCCCGATGGGGTGACTTTGACATAATCAAAGATCAAGGACTTAACCACAAGACAACTGTGATGCCTCAGGTCAAATGACTACTTTGCATTATCCCAACCATGAGTTCTTATGTGACATGGAATATGAGAACTCTTCGTTGATCACGTTCAGTGTACTCATTCTCTATTGAGCACCTACGTACTTGTCTTGATGTCACACACACCAATGACTCGAGACTAATCACTCTCCCTGAGAGAAGACATAGTACGTACCGATCTTTACGGACTGTCAATGCCCAATTGACAATCCTATGATCAGGAACATTTAGGATGTGTCTACGAAAGAATGGTCTCATGAATCTAACTTCATTAGATTACATTCTCCCAATCACATATTCCTTGGACTTTATCGTTTAAGCATATAACATTTATATGAGACGGCTCAAACAATAATGTATGCCCTTTATATGTAAAACTAGATTAGTTTAACATGTGAAATGTCCGTAAAGTATCATCACATGATTGGCTTTAGGGCACATTTCCAACACCTTATTCTATAAAAGGGGACTCATTCCCCCTCACAAAAGGGAATCAGTGAACCCAACAGAGGGCAATACCCTCACAAATACAACAACACTCTCTTTCTCTGGGGGACTCCCTCTCACCCTTCTAATCCATACATACAGTCAGAGAAATACAATCAGTGTGGACGTAGCCCAAACCTTGGGGTGAACCACGATACATCTTGTGTTATTTACATTTCTTGCAGATTCACGATCAGATTTACGTTGTTCCAAGACCTCTGGTTTTGTGCATCAACATTTGGCGCTGTCTGATTGTTTACCTTGTCTATTACCTCTTTCGGCAAATCTCCTAGCTCGGCGACTTGGGGGACCCCTACTATAGGGTTTTGTATCGCACTTAACAAAGCCCGAAACTACAAGTAAGCTTCAAGTGAAATTGATACATTACCTTGTGCATCTTCATCGGTTAAAGATACCACCCCTGATGGAGGAAAAGTACTTCGAGATAAGATGCCACATCTACGTATGAGACAGATAAGGCAAGTGAAAATGATATCACACTTCGGTACTTAGAAGTTTCGTAATTACTCAATGGGTTGGATCTTGCAAGTCCCTAACCGAGGAGCGTCTCTCACTCGGGAACTTAGGGGAGCACTATTTGTACCATACTTGACCAATCTTGAAACTATTGAGCACCGGTGAATTCACATCTAAAACTTTTGATGGATACGAACCCGACATATCACATATGCGCGTTTTTGGTTGTGCAGTATATGTGCCAATCTCGCTGCCCTTACGTACAAAAATGGGGCCTCAACGAAGGATGTGAATCTATGTCGGATATGATTCTCATTCGATTATTCTTTACTTAGAACCTTTGACAGACGATCTGTTTACCACTCGTTTCGTGGATTGTCACTTATATGAGATAGTCTTCTCGTTGTTAAGGGGAGATAAGAACGTCAACGTTCTTGAAGAACGACACGAATTATCGTGGACGACTCTCACTTTGTCTCATTTAGATCCATGCACCACTCAGTCTAAAACTGAAGTGCAGCGCATATTAGATCTTCAGAGCATAGCTCAGAGCATGCCAGATGCTTTCACCAATTTAACGCACGTGACAAGATCACATATTCCAGTTGTGAATACGCCTGCAAACATGAATGTACCAAATGTAAGACGGACTACCCTTTTGGAAGCCCGGGACGCCAATTTTGGTGATCCACATACATTAGCGGCTAGCCAATCATCTGCCTTTACACAAAAGCATGGTAGACCCTTTTGTTCAATGGATTCACACCCCTGGAAGAGGAAAACCACGGCACAATGACCTGAATAGCCTACAGTGAATCCGACTATAGCTTACTCATTCTACTTAACTCATGAGGAAATTTTAGATTATGGAAGCGTCATTGAAGAGACGAATCATTCTCCCAAGAATCGTGAGATTTCGGTCTATTATGTTAGCTTAGATGATATGTGGCATAGTAATAAGATGATTGTCGACGATGCATTAGTATTTGCAGTAGCTACTAAGATCATGTTGAGCGATGATATTGAACCGCGTTCCGTTGATGAATGTCGACATATAACTGATTGGTCAAATTGGAAACAAGCAATCCAAGTCAAACTCAATTCAATTGTGAAACATAAGGTGTTTGGACATGTAGCTCATACTCCTCCACATGTGAAGCCTATTGGCTACAAGTGGGTTTTCGGTCAGAAGCGTAATGAAAAGAACGAAATTGTGTGTTACAAAACTTGTCTTGTTGCACAAGGCTTCTCACAATGCCCCGGGATTGACTATGACAAAACTTATTCACCTGTTATGGATATGATTACTTTTCGCTACCTTATCAGTTTGGTAGTTTATGAAAAACTGGATATGCAGCTAATGGACGTAGTAATCGCGTATCTATATGGGGATCTTAATACGGAAATATATATGAAAGTTCTCAAATGACTTACATTGATTGGTATAAATATGTCCAAACCCCGGAACACGCCCTCAATTCAGCTGAGGCGTTCACTCTACGATTTGAAACAATCCGGGAGAATGTGGTATAACCGTTTGAGTGAGTATTTGACTAGTCAGGGATATGTGAACAACGAACTATGCCCTTGTGTGTTCATTAAGAAGTCACATTCCGGATTTGCGATTGTTACAGTATATGTCGATGACATGAATCTTATCGGAACTCCTGAAGAGCTCGTGAGAATTGTCGCGCACCTGAAGTCAGAATTTGAGATGAAAGATCTAGGTAAAACTCGATATTGCCGTGCACCCAGAAGGTGTTGCACTGCTTTAATGAGGATAAGGCGAAGTCTTCGAGTACTACTATGGTCGTTCGTTCGTTAGATGCAAAACGA